TAGCATGAAATATATTGCTAAGCTTTCACTTGAAATTTCATTTATAATTTTCGCTCGTATTCTTTGCCGCGTTCAAACAGTATGGTATTTATTATCGTGGCTATCCCATTCCGTCGGACACGATTGTGCGCGTAAAAATAAAGTAAGTAAACATATGTGTTCGAGTAATTTCATTTCCTCGCGTTTATGCACATCCCAAGTACTACTAATATACGAAACGTTATTTTATGGATCGACAGAAGTTAAAAAATAAACAAGCGCCGCATTTTAATATTCATATAATTAGCTTAACTTCGCGAAGCTCAAGGGATAAGACGACTGACACTGCGACCTAAGAAAAAGTGTCTCCCATTTTGTTGAACTATAAAAATTTTATACCACGTAGTGGCGTGCTATTTTATTAATAGTATCAGCAATCTTTCCTTTTATATTTTCGGTTGTTTTTGCGATTTCATTTTGTTAATCTAGTCGAAAATAAAATAAAATGTGCAATATGCACGAGGCCAGAGAAATACGATATCGGATAAAGCTGTATGGTTACATGATAAAAATCAGCAGCATGTTAAGAGATTAAGCTTTGAAAACGGCTTACAACTCAACGTGTGGCAGTATTAAAAAAAAGTTCCTACCGACTGCGGAATCCAATGAAACTCGAAATTTAAGTAGATAAAGTCAAAAATCGATCGGACACATTCAAGGTCTTTTTTGACAGCCATAAATTTTCATTGGCAATTTTTCTAAATTAATATAAATAGTTTTAAGAAGTTCGTTAATCGTGCGAGAGGCGACGTTCTGTTTACATGCTGTGAGCATGCTTTATCTGACCGTGACTATTAAGCGTATATCACCACGCGCATGATATAGTCAAAGCCTTTCCGAGAAGATGTAAATACGAAACGTTGCATGTACCAAATCGCGAGGAAAAAGAGAGAAAATTAGCATTTGATAACCTGATAAAGCGCTCTGAAAAATGTTAATCGAGTATCCCACGACCCTCTTGCCTTGCCGGAAAAAAAAGTTCTCTACAGGCCTCTAGCGCCGCATAGCCTTGCCGCATGCAAAATATCAATTCGCCGCAAAATTGATGCGTCTGAAAGAAAGCCGGGTTATACAATGCCTGGGGTTGATGCATGTACACCTGTGGCGCTGCGCCTACTATGGCTTTTATCTGGCGAATAATTGAAAGGATTATTTTTACAGACATTGCTGATTTATATACCACAGACGTTAATTCTGGATTGATTGAAAATAGAGACCGCCGGTGTACCTTTTACAGTATTTTAATTTATTTATTTCATTATTGGGTTTATTTGCTTGGATAAATTTTCAAAAGCACACCATTTATGTCGCTTTAGCGATGATTTATGAGTTTGACAAACTAATTTTTGACCAATTTGGCGCATAACTATATCATGCCAGATTGAGCCTTCTTTTCATATCGAATGATTTGTCGAGGACGATTTGATTCACACCCAGAGCTGGCAAACAGATATACTCGCAGAAAGACGAATAATAAAAACCGGTAAAGATTGATTTTTAGTCTGCAAAAATGACAATTTGCATTACTAATGAAATCCTCGAAAATATTCAACTCTCCTCGGCTTGATTTATGTTCGAATTTCTGTACTGCATCCTCGATAATGTGACGAATATATTTTTAAAATTCGGGTCAAGCTCGTCTATTAAGATAGGCAAAAAAACAAAAAATATACCACACAGACAGCTGGTGCAAGAATTCTATGGCACAGCGAAAATCATACATGATGACAGTTTTTCTCTGTTAAAAATTCGCGAGAGGTATGGAGCCTAAGATTCTTTGATGATTGATTGCAATCTAATATGATTATAATTTGACTCATTTTTTATTTATAGCATGCACGCGGCGCGATAATTCAAAGACAGAAATGATACTTAATTGACGTTTATAGAGTAATATCATCAATCATGTTTATATTCCATTATTAACATAATCGAGTGTTCGAGAGTTTCTAATCGCTGTATATCGAGTGTAACCTAAATCACGGCAACCGATCAAGTAACTTTTCCTTTCTTGCGCAAACTATCGAAGGAGTCCGTCGGATGAAAAAAAAAATTATTTTTTCGTCGTCGGTCTCTCCAGACGCAGCTCACATTCGCAACACGTGTCCCTAGGTCATTCACAAAACGCGCCCCTTTTCTCGCGATCGTCAAGCGCAAACGATTTGCCGACACGCGAAAATTAATCAGGCGCGGAGCAACTATCGATTCCCGGCCAAAACCGAAAACCCCCAACGAGCGCGCCGACCATCCCCGCTCGCTCGACAGTCGAACAATTGTCAGCGGCTCGATCGAAGCTCTCGGGAATGTAGGCGCCGTTAGGCGGACAAATGAACCGATGGAAAATTTGCAGATTTATATTTAGAAATGAAGCAGAGTGACGTGCAGCGAGCGAAGAGCGTATCAAGCGAGTTGACAATTTATTCCATTATCAATGAGCGCTTATCAAACCAAGACGCTCAGAGATTCAAGCTATCGCGCCTAATCAGTCATACAAGTGAAAGTTTAATCAGCCGGCTTCGCTCCGAAAAATAAATTAAAAAAGAAAGAGGAGGAAAAACATTCCAACGGTGTTGCCCTCTGCAGCGACGATCGATCAATCAACGTATCTTTGTGCGAAAGCCCGCCAGCCGCGCATCATGATCATTGCACCGATAAATCCCACTCGCCATATTAAGGCGGCTTCGGCGAACGCGAGACATACAAATTACGTATACGCAGGTGTAGGCGTTAGCGGGGAAGGACGCAGCGAAAGAGTACGTGCCGAGAGAGAAAAAGACGAGAAACAGACAGAAAGAGAGAGAGAGAGAGAGAGAGAGAGAGAGAGAGAGAGAGAGAGAGAGAGATATGTGTATACTTACTTCGGCGGAACTGGACTTGTCGTTGTCGTCAGGCTCATTCCGGCTAATCCCATTCGGCCTACTGCTGCACAAACTTTTGACGTGCGATGAAGATCCTGCAAGACACTTTGCTGATTGGCTTCTTTCGCTGCTGTTGCATTCGGCATTATGTTTCGTGTATAATGTTTCGCTCGTGTGCTCCTCGCTGTTGTTGTTTGGATTCATATTTTTCTATCTTGCGTGATTTTATTTTAGTTTTTTCGTTCACAGTTTACACAAAGTTTTAGCGTCTTGAGATTGGCAGGTTATTCGCGTGTTCTATTCCTTTGAGAACCGGCTTGTTGGCAATATTTTCAAAAGATAGCGGTAATGCTAAATAAACACGTGATCTTGATTTTGTCTGTAATAATTTGAAGGAGAGTACAGCCGTGAATCTTATTTAACGAACAATTTAAAGTCATTCAGATTTAATTTTCTAAAAACGAAAAAAGGAAGCAAAAACGCTTCAAATTCAACGACCAAATGAAATTTGCCAAACGCGTAATTCCGCACTGTTAACGAAAAAAAAAGTGGACATGCACGCAGACGTGGAGAATTTCACCTTCGTATGAACGAGTATAAGCAAACGCGTCGAGAATCGAAAGGCGCAGCCACAAGGCAACCAAAGTCTAGACTGCCGGTGTATGCGGCCGATGATGAACTTTTTGCCTGTGAGCAGATCGCGCGCGTGCCGCGCCAAGTCTCTCTCTCTCTCTCTCTCTCTCTCTCTTTCGCGTCTGCGCAACGCCGAAAAACGCACGTGGTCGACGAGTCCTTCGCGTTTCGCGCGGGCGCGCGTATGGGTGTGTGCGTGAACATTGAGGACTCCGTTTTTTATTTGTCTATCGTGAAAGGACGAGAGCACGGCTTTCTTGAGATTTGGAGTGTGCTTTCGAAGAATTTAGATTGTACATCGACCAGTGTGCTTTCGGAGCGGCAGCCTTGTACAAAAATAAGTTTTGTAATCCTTCAAAATATCGACTTGATGTAAATCGAAATGAAGTAACAATTCAAATCGACACGAAATTACGGAAACATTAAAGAAGAAAAAAAAACAATTTCATGGAAGAAATAATACGGTTAACGATATTTAGAGATTCGTCGGTGGTAGAAACAAAAATTTCACCTCTACAGCGGTGGTCGATTAGCATGGAAAAACTGTGCTGACTTCCGAAAACCAGCCGTGACCTCAATTTTGCTTTAACACGCCTCAACGAGAGAGACACCGAATAGCATTAAACCGCGCGAGGGCGCGCGATAGACATCGATATTTAGCATTGCTAACCGCACCTCGCGAAATCACATTCCAAAAGGATCGACGCGTAAAACGTATATTATTCGTGCGGGAGAAGGAAGGATAAAAAGCGAGCGATATTCCGTCGGGCGCACCGCGAGAGACAGTTTGAACATTTACAAGGCAGATGGATATACCGCTGGCGTTAAGGAATCCGCTAAACTGCTTGCTGCCGATCTTTCACAAGCTGGAAAACGTGCACTCGCTGCAAAGGCCAAAAGATAAAATAAAATTGAACCCAGAGGCGCGCGCGCGCGCGCTGCCGCCGTCGCGAGAGAAACAAGCGCGCCAGCAGGCAGAAGCGGCGTAAGTATATCGCAGAGCGTACGGAACGCACACGCGTATGTTCCGAAAAAGGCGAAAAGCCGGTACAGCGCGCACACTGCAGCTCAACTCACTCTCTTTCTCTCTCCCTTCCGCCGTGCAGCCGACTTTTCCACGCCACGCGCACACGCCGCTTAGCTCGTCGACAGAGGCCAGCGCAGCTATACACAGAGGAGGAATTTTTTTCGCGCGGATACTATACGGGAGGGGGGAGATGTGTAATATATATATATAGCGCGCTCGGCTGTGACCGTCAGATGAATGGTCAGTTTTGAAAATGTTTTAGGGCTCCAAAGGCTTCGTCGCATCCGAATAAGCGCCGAATCGATGTTTCAGAGTTCGAGTGCACTTGGAAAGCAGTCGACTTTCGAGTAAACTTTCAATTGCTGTCTTGCTTGTCTCGGCGATTTTCATCGATCGTCCGTCCGTTTTTCACCTACTGAAGCGCACCTTCAACCGTGGTGGACGAAACATCTCGACTGATGCGCTTAAAAAAATAAAAAAAACGCGGCTGTTTCAAAAACTCCTGAGAGACTGTTCATCAATCAGGCAGTGAAAAAGGACGCACGAAGAAAAAACTAGGTAAGTCTGACGATTAAAAAGAGCCGGCACACGTCGCGTCGTGCACGTGGCGTCTGTACTGCGGCGTAAGAAGGAAGAAGGGAGAAGAGTGTACGTATATATGTATATGCCCGCGAATAGATAAAAAAGCTAACACTTTGAATGAGTTCATCGGGCCAGGTTGTATATAGTCGCGCTCCACGCAATGTGTCACTGGTCGTACTAGCCGACCTAAAAACGTGCACGCTTTCTCCCCTTTTTTCGTTGGAGAGGGTGGTCCTCTTAACTCGCGAAGGTGCGGCTATGGTTATTTCAGGATCATTCGGTCATTGTATGAATACTTCACGGCTTTGCCGATCTGTGATTTGAATGGGTGGGCAGTCGTGCCAATAATAACCGTGGAAATCGGGAATAATTCAGGCTTTTACTTTGATTGCTCTTGCTACGTTGCACAACATTTATGCTGAAAACAATGTCATGTTTATTGTGTGATTTAGTGTGTTCGGAGCTGTAGTACTATGAACCGCTTTATTTACTAAATGACTCATCAACACGAACATTGTTTCTGGACATCGCACACGTACATATATTACATACAAGCATTGTAAAAATACAAATTAATTATATTATTTTAATTTCCGGGTTCGTTTCGTATAGATAAAGATTCCGCATAATTGGATTCTACGTATATTTTGTAATTTTGTTCATTTAATATGCTCTCTTACTGAACACGAGAAATAAAATAACATTTAAAAAAATGAAATATCTAACATTATATCTTTTTGCAAAAAAATGAACAAACGATTAATTGGAACAAAATATTCTACATGACATAATCGCATAGTTGATCATTTTTAATAATCAGTAGAAGAATTTTAAACATATAATTCTTTTAAATATTTATCTATTCCTACAGACATATTTTATATAGGATAATTTCAACCAATTATTTTCCAATCTAATTTGCTGTAGAAAGCTTACGTGTTTCTTTGCTAATAAAATATATTATTTTATATATTCTGTTCAATCAAAACAGAATTGTGTTAAATAAAAATAATTAAAAAATTCGTGTTAAAACAATAATACAAAAGTGAAAATTAAACCTAAGGCCGTATTAATAGATAAATGCAATGCATTTTATAAACTTTTATTCATTCGATTTGTAACATTGATTTGCCTTTGCTGTATAAATTTAGGGTAATCTACTATCATCCCAATTGTTATGTACAATTTGAAAAGTGTATTTGATTATTTTTAATGTCATTTTATATATTTTCGAAAAATTTGATTGATCGTGAATTGAGATGCTATGGTGGACACACTTTTAGCATAGTGCACCTAATAAATTTCGAGTATGTAAGCGCATATTTCTGCGTCGACACGCGCGCATACGAGTGTCGAAGGGATTTTTAAACGAGGTGAGCTAATGTGAGCGTTGATAGCTTATTTGGTAACGGTAACAATTCTACAATTGTAGATTCATATTGGCACACGCGCATTCTTCGACCAAAGTAATACGTGGATGTCTGACAATATCGTACTGTTACTACTGAAATTTAAGAAAAATTACCGAGTTTCTCGATCGATCTGATCGAACATCTTTAAAGCTACAATGACCAATTGAAATCCAATTATAGATGTCTAATACATAATTCAGATGCATGTATATTTTTGCAATACATGTGCTAATACATTCGATACAAGCAATTTCGCCGAATAAGTGCCATAACTCAAACGTGCAAAGTGTAAACACTTCATTTTTCTAACTTTCTCGTTACATGAAGAGCGGCCCATGCGGAAACAATTTGATTCGTCGCCGCTCATGCTCGTGTGACACACTTTTTGCTCATAGAGGTGCTCATATCAATAAAAACAAACACGATTTTTCTATGCACTTCTTTTAGTCTTTTGGATTTTATAAAAGCGTTAATATTGATTTTAATTGCAGAGCTTCATTAATGTAAATTTTTCTTAAACGTATCGTACATAACAATGAGTTTTTTATGTAACGCAGCAATTTTTTTGAGCTCTGCAAGGCTTCGAATTTTGATTAAAAATATATCGAGACATACTTTTCGTTGAAATCAAATTTGTAGTGAGGTTTGAGTTGTCATTTTTAATTTTATGTATGAAATTCTAAAAAATCAATGAGAAAACCTTTTCTATGGATTGTAGTTCGACTTTGTATGCATACAAGACAAGGGTTATACGACTATCCCCGGTGATAGACTCGATTTTTTTTAGTTTATCAGGTACATCGTAAATTAAATATAAACTGAAAGAAGTAGTAATGTGTACACTAGTTGACTTTTTCAAAATCGTGTAGATTTTACCCATAGAGCTGCTTATATGCATTTTCAGACTCGAGGTACGATATTTTTAGACAATTCTATGCAGATATGTGTGTATATTTAATTATCCATAGTATTATACTAAAGATCATTTGTTTTCGAGTTTCTGTAATTTTTTGGTTACTCAAATCAAATACTATTATTTCAATCTCCATTTCTATAATAGAAATTAGAACAGATATTTTGAACTTATATTGATAAAGACGATACCTTTCTTACTAGGCTCGTAATGTGTCCAGCGCATATTAGCATTAGCAGACGAACAGTTGTGCCGGGCTCTTCTCTAGGCATGATTTTAAGGCCTTCGCAGTCTTGGCACTTGGTAATTATGGATGTAAATAAAACAGATGCATCATAGAAACATACTGAACATTTATTTCACTTATAACACTAACATTATAACGTAATTAATGCAGTTTTTCAAGTATTTACTTTAGTCTGGAAAGAGTTGAAATAAATTTTCTATACATTGAGGTTACGAATTTATAAACAATGTTTATAATCAGAATTTTTTAACAGGTTCTTTTATTTGATTGACTTGACAAAAGCAACATGCAATATTTAATAGTAACCTGGTAGAAATAGTCATTGTGCAAAATGCCGAAACATAAACATAAGGATAAGGACGATAGTTTCACATCATTCTCCAAGGATGATTCCAAGAAGCATAAGAAAAAGAAACATAAGCATCATTCTGAAGAGGAAGAGACAAGACTGGAAAAATATAAAACTAGAAAGTGTAAATATTCCTTGGATAATGAATCATCAAATGATCAGAGAGATAAAAGTAAAAGACATAAGAAAAAAAAATACAGATCCAAGTCTAGAGAATCATCAACTACTTGTAAAAATTCTGGATTGCATGAGAAAGAAAAATATGATTCTAGTTCTGAAGATAGTGGATTAAATAAATCAAGGGAGTATAAGAAGCATAGAAAAGAAAAACGGTATTCCAGTTCAAGTAGTGACTCATCATCTCAAGACGATATAAGTAGCAAATATGATAAAGAAAAAATAAGTAGACATTTGTACAGGAATAAAATCTATGCTGATCCTGGTTCATCAAGGCAGGAAGCAGAGAAACTTGTAGAAAGTTTTGAAGACAAAATTGATACAGACTTTACATTTTTACGATACAAACGTGATTTGAATAGAATATTTTCCAGCTTTCATATTGTTCAGGATACTGAAGAATTTTGGCTCTTTGTCAAAGAGTATGAAAAAAAGGAGAAAAGATCTAAGTCCTCTAATTCGAAAGTTAATTTTCTTGGAATTCCAGAAGTCTATGATAAATCCCACAGATTTAATTTCAATTTAAGCTATCGATGTAAAGAGTTGTTTATGAGAGTTGAAGATATCCGAGAACTAACACAGGAGCGACTCAAAAGGTTCAAAGATATTATTTTAACATATCTTGATTTTAAACAAAACATGAAATTTGCAAGATTGAAACAATTAAGGACAGAACAAGCTAATCTTCCTGTTGCTCAATTTAAGGATGAAATTATAAATGCCGTTAAAACTGAAAGAGTTGTCATCATCGCTGGAGATACTGGTTGTGGTAAATCAACACAAGTTCCTCAATATCTTTACACAGCTGGATTTGGTACAATAGGTGAGCATTAAACTGAACTGATTGACAAATAAATCTCCTGGATAAATATTTTATAACTTTATTTTCATTTCAGCTTGTACGCAACCTCGAAGAATAGCTTGTATATCTTTAGCCAAGCGAGTTGCTTATGAAACTTTGACAGAAAATCTTAATGAAGTTGGTTATCAAATAAGATTTGAAAAGCAGAAAGGTGAAGATACAAAAATTACTTTCATTACAGAAGGATTGCTTTTAAGACAAGTAAGATCACTCTAGTGTAAACTGTTGTAATATAGTTTTTTTTTGTAATCAATTTTTTTCGTTGCAATAGGTTGCTGGAGAAGCAGAACTATCACAATATGACGTTATAGTCTTAGATGAAGTTCATGAACGACATTTACATGGTGATTTTTTGTTAGGAATCATGAAATGTCTTATACACCAAAGGCCTGATTTGAAATTAGTCCTGATGTCTGCCACAATTAATATTGAACTTTTTAGTAATTATTTTGCTAATGAAGATGTCAGATTAATTCAAGTATGTAAAATACAAGAAATTTATTATTTGATAAAATCTGTTGAATAATCATTTCACAAATTGAACATGTACTTTATATTTATTTCTTAGGTGCCTGGACGACTGTATCCTATCCAGTTAATTTATAGGCCTGTACTTGTAGAAGATAAACGTTCCAAAAATGACAGATTCAATCCCAGCCCATACATTCAAATCATGCAAATTATTGACAGAAAATATGACAGTACGTACAAATTGTGATAAAAGAATCTATGGTTACAACTCTTCATGACTTTCCATCAATAATAATTTTAGAAAAAGAAAGGGGCGATCTATTGATATTTTTGAGTGGAATGAGCGAAATCACAGCAGTGGTGGAAGCTGCAAAAGAATACAGTAAAAAGGATAATAATTGGATTGTTTTACCATTGCACAGTACACTATCGATTGCTGACCAAGATAAAGTAAAGTATTTTTCATAAGTTTTAAAGATTTATCTTAGCAAGTGACTGATCAACGTATTTTTATTTTTTATTAGGTATTTGGTTATCCCCCTGAAGGTGTAAGAAAATGTATAATATCAACAAATATTGCTGAAACATCAATTACAATAGACGGGATCCGATTCGTAGCTGACAGTGGAAAAGTCAAAGAAATGAGTTTTGATCCAATTTGTAAGATGCAGCGATTGAAAGAATTTTGGATAAGTAAAGCAAGCGCAGAACAAAGGAAGGGACGAGCTGGAAGAACGGGACCGGGAACTTGTTACAGGTGCACATTCTTTTTAATTAGACAATTATTTCATCATATAAATATTAAAGGATAGAATTGAAACATGAATGTTATTCTAGATTATACTCTGCCGAAGATTATCAAGCATTTGAAAAATACTCTAAACCAGAGTTACAGCGAGTTCCTCTTGATTCTACTTTACTGCAAATGATTGCTATGGGCTTACCAGATCCTCGCAAGTTCCCTTTTATCGAACCACCTCCAGCAGAAAGCATAGAAACTTCTATTTTATCATTGAAAGAACACGTAAGTAATAAAAATTCTAAATTCAAAATATTATATTTTTGATGTATTGTTGATTATTTATCAAATTTTTTTTTGGAATTAGGGTGCTTTGACGGAAAATGAAAAGCTAACAGCTATAGGGAAAACTCTTGCAAGACTACCAGTTGACATATCTATTGGAAAAATGTTGATTATGGGTTCATTATTCCATCAAATTGAGCCCGTTTTATCTTTAGCTGCTGCTCTCAGCGTGCAAACACCTTTTACAAACAGAGCTTACAGAGACCTTGATTGTGAGGTAAGTTGTTACAATAAACTTAAATTTTGCAAATATAAATAGTAATTTAAAGGAAAAGAATAAAGTTTATATTTGCTAATAACAAATTTTCTCGTAGGAATCAAGAAAAAATTTAGAATCAGATCACGGTGATCCGATAACGTTATTAAATGCATATAAAGAGTGGCTTGAAATTAAACACTCAACAAGCGGAAATGTACGTTCAGGTAGCAGTAATAGCAAAAAATGGTGTAGAAGAAGGGGTCTAGAAGAACAAAGATTTTATGAAATGACCAAATTACGTACTCAATTCAAAGACTTACTCGAAGTGCGCAAACTTATGAATTTTGATATTCTTTTATTATTATCCATTTCTATGATTTAATTCCCACCTTTGTTTAGGACTGTCATTTATTGTATACGGATGATACTAATTCCGAGATGACAAGTTCTGAAAGAACATTAAGACATGGAGAATTGAAACTACTCAGATCTTTGAAGAGGTCCTACAAGCAGAATGATTTAAGAAAACCAAAACAGCTAAAGTTGGACGATGATAATATAAGAATAGAAGATGAAAAAGAAGACGAAGAGATTGACATTAAAGATATAGAGTTCAGGATGAAGAATGATTTTTCAAAAGTTAGCGATTTGGTCAATGCATCTACAGCTTGCAGTTACAAGGATCTAATGATGCTAAAATTGATTTTATGCAGCGGTTTATATCCTCAGTTTGCATCATCAGATGAATTTAATTATTGCAAGGTATGATGATCATTCCTAATGAGTCCTCTTTGATATTATTAATGAAAAGGTAAAAACGAGCTCATTATATAATTTACAGACGGTCAGTGAACAATTATTCCATACCAAAGTTAAACAGTTCGTGGCTTTACATCCAATGAGCTTTTTTGGAAATCATCCTCAAGTATTACAACTAGAAGAGCCTGACATTACTACTATTCCTGGTTATAAATCAAAATCACCTATCAGTGCAAAGCATCAAATTTTAACTTATTTGTAAGTAAAATCATTCGCATAAATGTTATTACAAATATAAAGTAAATTTAGTAAAAGTTTTTTCTGTTTAATTTAGATCATTATTGGAAACTACTAAACCATACTTGGTTAATACCATGAGAATGCCTGCAGCACAGACATTGCTTTTATTTGCCCAGGAAATCGACACCAATTCAACATTTACAACGTAAGTATCCATTCATGAATATTTTTGTTATTTATATTTTTTAATTTAAAATAATATTTTTTCAAATGAAAATTTCAGTATTGCGTGTGACTCATGGCTTTCTTTCGATTTTCCAACGCCCGACAGTGGCGCGCTTCTTTTGTACCAAGCAGCTCAACTGAGACAAAAATGGGACCATTTATTAAATTTGAAGTTACAAGATAAATCAAGTAACTTAATTATATCATCAAATTATTAATAATTTTTAAATCGACTAACATCATTTTTAATTTCAGATATGTCTTCTGAAGATAAAAAAGAAAATATAGAAGAAATCGAGTATGAATTGAACAAAGGACTAGTCGAATTTATGCACACATCGGTGCCATATACCGTCAACCGATTACTTGTTGCTCATTTGAAAAATATCTACGTCAGGGGAGATCAAAATTCAACGATCATCAATACAAATCCATTTTCAACTGATTTCGAAGTAGTGCCTCACGAAAAAAAGGGTGGCATTCGACTTACTAAACAAATAACTTACAATTGGTAAGATATCATATAAATATAACTTTCGCATATCAGTAAACCACAGTTCTAATTATATTTTTTATTACAGTCTCATTGGAAACGATTTGAGCGACAAAATAGCATGTCAAATGCTGGAAATCGAATGGGTATGTCCGACTTGCGGCTTCCGTGGTGCTTTATCCAGTATAGAAAAATTACAACACATAAGTATTTGTAAAAAAGAAAATACTGGGGATATTGGTATGAAAACATCGGTAATGCCGGTGAAAAAGAAGAATGCTGTTGTGTACGAATGTACCGATTGTCAGAAAACGTTGTATCTTACACCAACTGAAGTTTTGAAACACAAAAAACAACATGAAAAGTAAATTAAAATATTCAAGAAATAATTGTACATATTGTAAATAATTTTTATTATTTATGCAGTCTACTTAAAAATACTATTTTTGATAGATTAATTGTTTTAAACAAAGTTTTTCAAGTCTATATAAATTATTGCGATGTCTCGTTTCAATTTACATATGCAAATTAAAATTTTAAAACATTGCAATAACGTAAGAAATAATATAAGAAGCAGTTATTTTTAAATAATTCAAAAATATTGGAATATTATTGAAATAAATGTATTTTTCAAATTGACATAACGAGGTTATTTACAAGTAATGAACGTAGTTTTTCAAATAAATATTAACAATTACAACTCACACGTCGCTTTGCTTTAAAATTAAAAGAATGTTTCAGTACATTGTCGAATACAATTAAGTCCAAGGCAAAAAATTAGCATACATAAAGCAACCTATTACAAAGTAGCTTAAAAAATATCTATAAATCAATGTTTCTCGATAAGAATAATTCTGTTCCGTAATGAAAAATACTTTCCATCGAGAACACATATTTTCTGGACTATCATATTCGATTTCTGTGACTTTTTTTGACATTTTAGTATCCTCCAAAGTTGTTAAGGCACAGTACCAAAACAAAACAGGACTGGCTGAACATAAGAGGCGCGTACTTACTTGAATATGTACAAAGAAAATGCAAAAAGTCGTTAAAAATAAGGCATGCACTACAAAAACGAACATTTCTAATGGATATCGCTTTATATTGTCAGATGGTCTTGATATTCCACTGAAAAATTCCAAAGTGAGAAATTTCGATCTGTGCTCTTTAAAAAATTCGATGCAGCACTTCAAGATAATGCATATTACAGGTACAGCAAGAAGAAAATTAGGAATCTGTTTGAATTCATAATATCTTAGAAAACCTACGTTCCAATACTTATTTTGAATGTGAGAATATGCAATTGGTAATTTAGAGTTACACCATGCAAAATCATGTTGTCCTGGCAGCAACAAGTTATTATCTATTGCATAATTTTTTACATGGTATGGAATCCATGATTCATTTGATTCAGGCTTACAAAACTTAATGTAATTATAAACTTGTGAGTAACCAAACGGTAATAAAGACAAAATGATTATAAAAATAATTTGAAATAAACTTATAAAAACGTGTCGAGAATTGAAGAGCAATGATCTAGTACTGCTGTGAAAATGCTTATTCTCTAATATGTAATTTGGTAAAACGATTACCACTAAATTTCTTAGCCAAAAATAAACTGGAAAACCAAGATTAACTAATCCATTTGATCTAACTAAACTGGAAAGACTCAGTGGCAAAAAAACACAAGGATTATTGTTGATGCTTTCAAGCATACTATAAAAAGTCAGATAAGCAAACAAAGATTCGGTATAAAGAGCAGTAAAAAATATGCTCGCTGGATTCACACAAAAAAGTATAGCAGCACGATAAGCTACTTTGGTATTTTTAAATACTACTAGGCTAAGATCGTAAAGAACTAAGGCTGCTTTAACAAAACACACAAAGTTAATTATAACGCCGCATATCACAATGATGTTACTATAATTAAGTATTGGTGGCTGTATTCTAAACACTCTGGCCATATATTCAATTAACATTGGAAAAAGTGGAAAAAAAGCAAGAGTGTTTTCGTATGTGTAACCATATTTTGCTATATGGATGAAGTATTGTGCATCCCATCTCGTCAGTCCTCCTAATAAAAATGTTACAATATTGTCTAGAAGTGTGTGTTTCTCAGTTGGATCCGCAGGTGTACGAAAGGCGTTAGCGTTATGATCTGGGCACAGTACGTTGAAAATCACTTGTAGTATAAGAATTGAGATTCGTGTTAGGACAGCAAACCATAAAACCTTTTTTCTTACTTCGTACATGTTTAATTCCTTCCATTAAATACATTGATCTGAGAATAAAAATTATTTAATTGATTCAACTTAAGAAATTGCATAGACTAAATACAAAACAATGATGTACTTCTTTTAAGTACCTTTGATTAATTTCGTATAAGTTGTTTATAATAGATGATTTAGTTTATTTGCTGTATATCCCATGCTATTTTATTACTGCAATAAAAAAAATTGTCCAATTTAAAAAATAAATCATTAAAATATACTTATCATCAATTGGTTACTACCTAGGTTTACGCAAAAAATCTCCTAAGACAATTCAAATTTTAAGTCAAATAATTTATTTCCAATTTTATATATCATTTAAATTTTAGATCCAACAACTTTTTTAGCATAATCAGCAATATGATGTGGTTTCGGTGTGCATTCGTCTTCAATTTTTTCTGAATAAGGCATAGGAATATCTACTCCAGTACATCTAACAGCAGGAGCATCAAGTTGAAAAAATACTGGATTTTCCATTACTGTTGCAACTATTTCAGAGCCAACACCACATCTTGGCCAACCAAGCTCAACAGTCATTAATCTGTGAGTCTTTCCTATTGATTTGAAAATGGTGTCCCAATCCATAGGCCTCAAAGATCTCAAATTAATAACTTCTGCCTCTATACCATCAGATGCAAGCAGTTCAGCTGCTTTCATAGTGTATGGAGTTGCTTGCCCATGTGTAGTAAGAGTGATGTGTTTTCCAGGTTTCTCTATTTTGGCTTTTCCAATAGGTATTGTAAAATCCTTATCCAGAGCCTCATCTGTCAGTGGATATTCATAGTTGTATAGTAATTCACTCTCTAAAATGACAACTGGATCTGGATCTCTCACAGCTGCTTTTAAAGATCCTCTGTAATCTTCACCAGTAGATGGTGACATTACTTTCAATCCAGGAACATGTAAATACCATGCAGCGAAGCATTGAGAGTGCTGAGCTGCTAGACCTTTTGCATTACCATTAGGTCCTCGAAAGACAATTGGAACTGGAAATTTTCCTGCGGACATATAAAGATTCTTTGCAGCTGCATTAACTACTCGGTCAATGGCTTGCATAGAGAAATTATATGTCATGAATTCACAAATGGGTCTCAATCCAGCCATTGCTGCTCCAATTGCTATTCCACAAAAACCAGCCTCAGTAATTGGAGTATCGATTAGTCTTTTATCACCATATTTCTTCCAAAGACCTTTCGTCACTTTGTAGGGACCATCAAATTGAGCTACCTCTTCTCCCAAAATAAACACTCTTTCATCTCTAGCTAACTCTTCATCTAATGCAGCATTGAGAGCGTCACGAATTGTCATTGTTGTTGCTGATTTGCAGGAGATTTTTTGCGTGTAAAAGCATTGTAGAAAAAATCTAGATTTACACAGCTTTTCAAAAGAAAGCATTTTCTCAACTTAATTACAAATAGTTTTTGACAGGTGACATCAGGGGTTAATAAGCAAAATGAGATTTTTCAATGGATAAACAAAATATTAACACAAGAAACAAGTGAAACGACGATAAGTTATAATTATATAATGCTTTTCTTAAAAAAATAGTGATTTACCTTTTCGTTGTAGGTTGTTTTTGTTCGAGCGATATTGTGCCTTAACTTTATATTTGCTGAAACGTTTTCTTACATTCTTTTACGTACCTATTCAATTACGCGATCACGCTTTATTTGTGCACAGTCACAGCTGTATTTATCAAAAAAGAAGTTAATTTAAAGCCGGCAGAAACAACTAACTAAATAACTACAACGTTGCTTAAACACACGTCATGTATACTGATACTGCAGTCTCAGCACTTGTAAACTACTTTGCAGCGGAATACATGGAAGATATAGGGCGATAGATATTTAGTATTTGAGAGCTGTATATAGCTATATCATTCTTTACGCTTCTTTACCTTGCCAAATCAATACCAGCTATAATAACCGTTGCTTGACTAATTCGTAAATAATAAAAATTAAGCACGTCATACTTGAATGACATAATTAGTTTATATATTATGCAATAATATGAAGTTCAATGTCAATAAAAAATGATTAAATATAACTTGAATTATCGAAAAATATAAAGATACGTAAATATTGCTATGTTAAAAATTTTTTTATTGTTACTTATAATATAATTGCACAGAAACTTATACGGTTTCTTAAGCAATACATCAACTTAATTGTTAAAACCATTAGAATTAAATAAGTAGTACAGTTTTTAAATTACCGCTATATGAAGTAGCACGCAAAATAATTTAACTTTAGTTTTTGTAGGTGTAGTATAACGAATTTTGCAATAAAACACTCGCAAATGAATGAATATACGTTGAAAAAGAAGAAAAAAACCAATAAATAAATTCCTCTAAGCTACAAATTAACAGAATTCAACTTTTATAATAAAATATATGTATAAAAATAAAAGTGGTAAGTCAAAATTACTTGAAAGTAAGAATTTCAGCAGTAAAAATGAAAACTTACTTGTTTTTAAATAGATATTGAATCAATACTATGCATTAATATTTACATATGTATGATTAACGCATATATATGCATATGAAAGTACATATGAATGTATACTTCTATGGCTTTACTTTTCATCTTTTAAAGTAGACAGAATTTTCTTAATGACAAACATTTCATATAGTAAATCTGGATTTATTATTTTACAATAAACTCTAACATTTTTTTTTATATAAAGACGGTCGAGTTTCAAACGCCTAATACTTTTTTGAAATAAAACTAATGATTTGATTTTTAACGTGAATTTCTGCAGAAACAATTCAATTCTTCTCCAATTAAAGAAATTGTTGTTCTGTACAGTATAACAGGTGATTCATTCAACGTATCGCTACTTTCACGTTATTCAATGTATATGATTTAAAGTTTCGCATACAACTGACTGATGAATAGCTATTTTTATGTAAATAACAAATAATAGAAAATTACAATTTTCCATTTAAACTCGTAATCATTCATGTCATAATCACAATATTTTGAATGTATTTCTAACATCATAAAAGCAAAAATAAATTATCAGTATAGAAAGTTTATGAAGTATGAAAAATATACTTTAAATTTTGATTGTATGTAATATTGAAATTTTGAATTTTTTAAAGGACATTGATCGATAAAAAAATCTACGTTTTACGCGAGATATAAAATTTTAAGTAGTATTTAATTACTTATTATAAGTACTATTGTTCACAACAAATTACATGAAAAATTAATTAGTATGGCTTTGAAGGTTACCAATTTTAAGAAACATTTTCAAATTCGATTATAACAGTTTTCAGTTAAATATAGTCGATGGTCGAAATATTTTGAAAATTCGAAAAGACTATATTCTATTATACATCAGTTCTTTCTATTGCTAGAAAATGGTCTCCTAAATTTTACCATAAATAGAGGTTTACTTCAGTTTCGTATTATCCCAATAACTGTTTGTACAGATTACAATTATTGTTCATAATTTTTTCATGATTCCAACACCTTATTCAGCCGTCTTTAATGTTTTCATAATTTGTTGAGAAATCAATTTCGTAGCTTCGCTAGCGTTTGGAATGAGGAATCTGTCCATATCTGAAATAACTAAATTATCTGATTGTGTGGATCCATACTTGAAAGTTATCAAATCAGGATGCTTTTTCCTTGATGTTATTCTGACTATACTTGATAACGGTCGTTTCACTATTACATGAGCAGCACCTTTTCGTCCCGGAATTTCTCGAAGAACAACTATATGTGTGTCAGTGACTAATAAATGACTGTAAGGCATACATTATTAGTTAGTCAATAACTTCAATGAAAAATAGTGTCGTTACAGTCATTACCTTTCGTAAACGTAACCGTTCACCTTGACTTCCATACATTTGAAGGAATGCATTAAATTTGGATCTTTCAACCACTGTTGAAGTGAAACTACTTCAATAGGTTCTTCACTTTGAGCAGTTGCCATCATCATGTCTAGAAAAAAAAATTATTCATTTAAATAATTCAAAGATTTCCAGTTTCAACTCAAAAGTCATTGTAAAAACATTTACTTGACTTACCAGGGTCTTGATCGTCATCAATACTAAAAACAGGCCTAGAATTTTGTTCTCGTTTACTTTGATCAGTTTCCTTCTCATTTTTCTTTTCCGTGCTATTATTGGCGCTCGCTGTCGGATTAACAATGTATTCAAAAAGTTTTCCTTTCAAATCTTGACTTTTAAGTTTCATTGCTTGACCAAGCTTTCCAAAAAACTCGGAATTACTATGTTTCATTCTCGATGGACTCGTTTCATTAGAATCACCTTCCGATAAACTAGTATTGCATACTAAACAGTATTGGGAATTGTGATCAACAAAGCTTGACACCACTTCATCACCAAAGTATTCATGAATAGCTAAAAAAAACAATATTAATATATCATTTAAAAAGTTAGCAAGAACTACGTTCAGTATTTTTACCTTGATATCCATTAACAACCATGCTAACATACTGTGTATGTTTTTGTAAAAATGATGCGACAACCATGTGAGTATATCGATCCTCTTCTTGCCGTCCACTACCAAGGAAGCACAAATGTTCGCCACCTGCTTGAGATCCAACAGCCAAAGCTTGTCGTTGAGCTTGCAATAGTCCTTGCACGGCTGTCGCAAATGCTGCAGGTTCTTGAAGCATCTAAAAATTTACAATAAATAAATGAATATTTTTAACATTTCAATACTTACTCAACTTCTCTACACTTACTAAATTACAGTCCAAATGAAAAGCAGTAGGCAAGTGACCTGCATTATATTGCTCAGCAGGTCTACAATCGACTAGGAAAAATCTAACAGACTCAACAGGAGCGTTAGGTAAAGACGAGGCTTCCACGGAATTTTCAACTAACTCTTGAGCTGAGACTGGTAAACACAACGCATGAGTTATGAATTTTTCATCGCCTCCCTCGCCAAACATTATGCTGTACAGTTCGACTTTAAAGGACGAAGGTGTTTTCATGGCATAGTATTGAGCTAGAGAACAGAAATCCGTTACGTCCTCGGCTTCCAAGGCACATGGCATTGCGGCTATCGCATCGACAATATTTTGCGCATCGTCATCTTTCATGCTCAATATTTGTTCCCTGAAAAAGTCCGCATCAAACGTCATAATGATAATAATATTGCAAGTTTCTTAGTGAAATACTAAAAGATATTTTACCTCGCATTAATAACCATAATGAGTGATAGGAACATCATGAAAAATGGATCGGCTTGCATAAAATACAAATCCCACATGGTGGAAATTGCTGGTAAGGAGCACACTCCAGCAAATAGAGTATTGATCCATCCCTTGGTGTATAGATCTGGTGATACTCTTTTTGTATCCAAGAAAGAGCACAATTCTGGCTCATGGTAAAGTAATAGTAACCTCAGTACAGCACTATGTGTGTCACCTCTAAAATTTTTTAAACAATTAATATTTGAGCAAGTTGTTTTTTTATTTATGCACAAAAAAATATTTAATATACCTTGGTATATAAATATCTCTAATAGCCTCGAATAAATTATATGTGGCTGAACGTGGTAATTTTAAAGCTATCAATGGACCAAGTAGTTCAAGCCATCCATTACCCCTCTCATATCGTTGGACTCTGTTTTTGCAATGGAAAGTTATGATGGACTCCAAATCGGAAACAACTGAAACTTTATCTTCGTCATCATTTCCCAACTTATCTAAAAAAGAAGGTATTTAGTTTTAGTACTTGGTAACAGAAAATTAAGATTTGATAAATGCTTAACTAACCAACTAATTGTTGGCAATCTTCTCTTATAAAATTTTGTTCTGGAAGATCAAAAACTTCATTGAAATGAATTAACTGATTCCCCCTATCTGTGACATCTAGGCATGCCTGCCAAACGTCTGGTCGCAGATTAGCTGGCACTGGTTGACCTTTACATATTGCATAAATATCAGATGCAGAAGGTGCTTCTGCATCCAAAAGAGCAGCTTCTAATTCAAGTATCCTGTAAATAAACATCACATAGCTAATGAAAAGAAATGAACCTTTGGAAAAAAAAGTTAAATCTAATCAGTAAACAGATATTTCAAATGTCCCAGATATACTAAACAAAAATAATACTAGATCTGAAAATTATTTTGAAACCACTAACAAATATAAATTCTTTTAAAATATAAAAATATCTGGCATACTTTATTGTAAAACTGTTTGAATACATATATCCATTAGTTTCCACAGGAGTGTTGCAATTAACAACCTTACTCTAATAGTCATACTTATTCTAATGAAAGGTTATCAGAAAGCAGAGCTATCTCTAAGAATGAACGTTACTCATATATAGCAGTAAATTAGTAGTTGAAAAAGATATGTCTACTGATAAGAATGCCGCGATATAGAATTTAGCATTACAACCGTAACATATTTTTAACTTTAAAAATGTAATAAGCTATGGTATACAAAAACATATGATACTATCAGAACAACTCGATTCTATTTTATATAATATATTTGATGATAAAATCTACAGCATACGAATGACACTAAACAATCTTTAATTATCACGAAATAAAAATCAAATAGAATTTAAACTCACCAAGTGTTCTCGTCGTCTTTTAGTGCCATTTCGTAGAAAAGTCAGCTGCTATGAGCTACTCGAACTAGATCACCGCACTCGCGAGAGCCAAAAAAATTACCTTTCACATGAAGCACCATCGACAAAGCCCTGTACAATCACCACGGCTGCAGCAACACGACGACGTTATCATCGCGCGGTTGATTTTCGTCGGTCAGCAGTTCTTATAGACATTGTTCGCGTTGACAGATTATTACCATATTTTATTTGTTCACTTCCAGGGGAAAATCACAATCACCTGCTTGCGCGGGAGGCGCGGCGCCGTGTTCGACGATCGACGCGCCAAAGCACAGCTTTACGGTTGGGTTTTGAAAACTTGTTTAATTGATTTTGAGCCCGAATTGATATTTTGCTGTTATGTATGACAAATTTTGTTGTAATTATTTCTTAAAACAGATGACAACTTACGATGAATAAGACCGTACGCGGCCGAATATAGAATATGCGATGGGAGATTGGCGATTGGAGATTAGTAGGACGCCTTATCTATACTATATGCGATTGTATCATGAAGAGTGTATAGGCACATGAGTGAATCTAAATTGATTATTAATCATCACTACGTAGGTTAAGAGGAACTCAATGTGTATTATTAATATTTACAATATTTAGGATTCGACTGTTTGATTCATCAGTCCCATTTTAATACCTATTTTGTTAAAAGTTCTAAAGAAAAACAAAAATATTTGTAACTCTTCGCTGTAGTCGAACTTCCCTTTCCTTCGCGCACGTGGGTACAAGCGAGACAGAATTATCTGTGACTCCCGAGTATAATTCGTGTAGAGTAAGAGGCACACCTCGTGTGTCTCCTCATAGTCGTCGTCGTTTTTTTAATAAGTAAGAAAGCTCATCATCAGAGCATAACATAAAATTAAACCAAGTGTAACTAAACTAACACAAGGAAATTATGGCATCAACTAGTGGTGCTTCGAGTTCGTTACCTAAATGGCAATTGGCCCTCGTTGTCGGGGCGCCGGTTGCCCTCGGCCTTGGTTACATGTATTACAAAAATAGTATCAACAAACCCGAGGAAAAACCTGGCAAGGGTAGAAAGTCTGCTAAAGGAAACGATGAAAAACAGATTTCCATTGATGGAGATTTTCCAGCTAAGACGGGAAATGCGACTACCATTGAGGTTAGGATTTTTTGTTTGTTCACTCTCTTTAACGAGGTATTTTTCTTATTTCATGCATTTTTCACAGGTTCAAAAGTTTTAATGATTTACTTAGTTTATTTAATCGAAATGAAAACGTTGTTTGTGCAATGTTATTCAATTCATATTGATTGCTTATACATTATACTTGTAGTGACAATATATTTATAAGCTAAAAAAATCAATATTTTATTTAATTGTTAGAATATTGTACAAAATATAAGTAGAATTTCAGGCAATGTTTCATTATATATTTCATTGCATTTTATAAATTGTATGTTACAAGTGTTCTAATATTATATGTATTCAAAACTAGCAACTTACAATTTTTCTATATAGAATTGTGATCTAAAAATCATTTAATATTTTCCTGTGATAACTGATAACCATAATATTATAAAAATATATACAACATGTTATTTATTATACTCATTAATAGCAATATTATATATAGATAAAAAATTTCCAATGGAAAAATTCATTACTGGACAATTAACCATTATTTCTTTTGTTATATAACAGTTTTGTGTTTGATTTCTTCCTGTATTTTTTAATGAAAACTATATCCTTTCTTTCTAGACTCCTCTTGATAAAGCAAAAAAATACAAAACTGAAGGCAATGGATTTTTTAATCAGGGTAAATATGATGAAGCAATTGCTCAATACAACTTAGCAATTGAATCATGTCCAAAGGAGAATACAGAAGAACTTGCAACTTACTACCAAAATAGAGCAGCTGCCTATGAAAAATTGGTACTGTACTTTACTTATTGTTATTTTTACCTTGTATCAAGCAGATTTTAAGAACTGAACTTATTGCAGAAAAAATTCAATGCAGTCAGGGCTGACTGTACAAAAGCACTGGAACTAAAACCAATATATGTGAAAGCAATGATTCGTAGAGCCCGAGCTATGGAATCTTGTAATGAGTTAGAGACTGCACTGGAAGACATTACTGCTGCATGTATTCTTGAAAGCTTCTCAAATCAAAACACACTTTACATAGCAGATAAAGTATTGAAACAGCTTGGTAAATAATTAAAATGTATTTAATAATAAATTTCCATAATTCAAAAATTCATTTGCTAAAAATCGTTATTTTCGTTGTTTAGGTAAACAACATGCACAAGAGCACATGGCATCAAAGAAAGCAATAATGCCTAGCAAATATTTCATTTCCACCTATTTCTTGGCCTTCCATAATGATCCTCTTCTGGCAAAAATGCAAAGAGTTGAAGAACAAAACGACTCGTAAGTTAATTATTGAAAACATTATTGAATTTTAAAATCTTCAAAAATTATTGGTAATTTTATTGATTATTTCCTTAGGTCGTTTAAGCAAGCACTGTTAGCCTTGAAACAGCAAGACTACGATAATGTAATACCGTTTTGCACAGAGGAGCTAAATAGCCTTGCTCCAGACGACAATTCGCTGCACAAGATTGAAGTTGTTCTGTTGAGAGGAACATTTTATCTTCTTCTTGGACAACATGAAAATGCTGCAAACGATTTATCTGCCGTTATAAATAGCGATATCGCTAGTAAGGAATTGAAGGTCAATGCGCTAATCAAGCGTGCAAGTATGTTTATCCAGCTTGAAAATGCAAGTCAAAGCTTCGACGATTTCGAAAATGCCGTATCGCTCGCCCCAGACTGTGGTGATATTTACCACAATCGTGGACAGGTAAGTTTTGCCAAAGAAACTGACTGAATAAAGAACTATGAATGAATATTTTACACTGTCTTTTAGGTGCATTTGCTTATGGAAAAATTAGATGAAGCCAAGTCAGACTTTAAAAAAGCTGTTGAACTGAATCCCGGTTTCGGTGTTGCTTATGTACAGAAATGTTATGCAGATTATCGTTACGCCGTTGCTCAAAAAGATATGAACCTTATGAACACGGCAATGACCAACTTTAACAAAGCTTTTGAAAAATTTCCAGACTGTTCAGAATGTTATACTTTGTATGCCCAGGTAAATAAATTATGTTAATTCCATCAGTTGTGTTTTACAAACTACAGCAATTTTATCCACTTAATCGTTTTACAGATGCTGATAGATACTCAAGATTTTGCTAAAGCTGATGCGTATTTTGTCAAAGCTTCAAAACGTGATCCTAAAAATGCTACGATTTTAGTATACAGAGGATTGTTACAATTGCAATGGCACAATGATATCGAGAAAGCAGTGGAATATATTCGTAAGGCAATAGAACTTGATGACAAATGTGAGTTTGCTTACGAGACTTTGGGTACTATCGAGGTGCAAAGGTAAAATTTATCGCTAAGTATTCCACTTCAATTTAATTATTAGAAGATTGTACATTTTAATTAAAAATTTTTTAGAGCAAACTTGAAAGATGCAATAAGCCTCTTCGACAAAGCTTTAGCTTTGGGCCGAACTTTAATGGAGCTGACACATATTTTCAGTCTGCGAGATGCAGCAAAAGCTCAACTGGTAGTTACAGAAAGACTAGGAGGTAATCTGATGAAGACTATGCAAGAGGGATAATAAATTATTATAAAAAATTTTTGAAATATCAAAATTGAAAGAATCGACTGCAACACTACAGATTGGTTAAATTTACAAAATGTGATAGAAAAGCAGTCATAGCTTCATGTTTTTTTTATTGTAAGAAATATGAATAATGACTGATTACTTGATCACGTAGTTTAAAATTCGTAATTTGCAACTGTAATGTATAAATAGCAATGCATTTATTACGGGCATCGGGTGAGCGATTTCATCGAAAAAATGTGTTTACAGTGACTTGCGTAGTAGAAACATCAATACCATTTTTAATAACGTTTACATAGATATAACATGTTTAGAATTTTAGTTAGATTTTGTTTTTTCATAAACGATCAAACTGAGACCATATAAAAATTTATTTGTAGTTAGTTGTATTGGTAAAATTTTGGTATAACGAAAGAAATATTATTTACAAAAGATTGGTAGGTGTGGAATTGGACTTATTAACAAATTAAAATAATTATTAAAAGCTTTAATAAGTGTATAAAGTGCTTTTTCATCACGAGATAATAATTGAAACATAGATAATTTAATACGGTAAATAATACCTACTGCGATCAACAACTATTTTGTCGCAGGTAATGTGTCAATATGCCTTAATAGTTCAAAGGCTGAAATGTCATAATACAGACGAATGTAAATTTGAAGAACGTGTTATATAATTATAGGATAATGCAAGTACGAGAATGAAATTTTACACAATATTTATTTGTTATTTTACATAAAATGACGTAGCAATCAAAATTACATATTTACAATACGTAAAAAATTACAAGACTCGCGATGTATGTATTTTCTCTCCTGTCGATAATTTTCAATAATATCAGACCAACAAAAATGTTTAACTGAATTATATGTATTCACTTTGCAAAAATAAAGAAGGTCATTATTTTTATTTATATTAACACGCCGCTGCGGTGCATTGTACAGATCGTATTAGAAAAAAAGCAAAAATGAGTTCAACATTTGTAAGAAATATAAATATATTTCTAGCCCTAGTCTAATATACAAAAAGGAAAAAAATTGTCTTCAGTATTTCATCACCTTATTCACACTCTTTGGAATTTGAAAGTCGACTATACACTTAGGTTGTTTCCACACACAGCACAGTGTCAAGGAACTTGGTTGAAAAAGAATTTGTCCACCACTTTCTATACCTACACACTTGGAGACCAGAAAAGAGTGGATATTATCTTGTAGCGCCTCTTCAAACATCATAAAATATGGATGCCAGCGGGTATCTTATCACAAAGGCTAACACGGTACCTGCAACCTTAAGTATCAAGTTTTAGATTTGATTGTTATTCATTAACTCGACTTTTTATTTTTATGAACTAAATAAATGAATCTTGAGTGATCGTTACCTGGATAGCTAACAGAACTGTAGAAAGCGTCGGTTCTCTCATTGGACCGAACACAATCAGTACGAAATTAATTAGCGTTAAATTGTTACAAGTAATTGTACCATCCTTGTCTTCTCTCCAATTAACAACTTTGAAAGTTTTAAAGACTCTCATAATAAACCTCGCTGCACAAAAATACAAAACCGAGCATCAAGTACAATCCCATCGTCAAACTTCATTCACGTATATCTCACCTAAAACATTTAAATCGCTAATCTTAAAAACCATCACGCTGGGAATCATCAAATCCGCCTCCGCATCGTAACTGAAACAAAAAGAAAATCCCTCAAATCGTCACTCAGCGCTCAATCGCTAGAACATTCAATTTTTTTACCACGGCAGGCGATGCCTTGGACACGGCATCAAATGAAACAGCTGCGGCACGCTGTACAGGAAGTTTAGTATTTGGGGAATGAAGAAGAGCAATGTCGTTTTGCTGAAGTGGCCGATTATACCAACCACTGCAAACGTCATACCCGAGAAATAGCAAAATGTATCGCCGACGAACACTTTTGACGGATACCTGTAATAAAAAAAAATCTGTCGCGTCTTTTGCACTTGTATAAAGTCGGCTACGGCTATAGCGTAAGCCCCTTTAGTGAACATGATACAGTATTCCCGTACGCGTGCCTATATTGTACGATACTTGAACGAGATACTCTGAGTGTCTTTCAAATACTCGAGTGATTTCTTTTTACCGAGAGAACGATAGTTTCTCAAGTGGGACGCGCAAGTACAATTAATAAATTTCTTTTTCTACGTCGACTAAAGAAACTCATTCCCGCGCGTATATAGCCGAATCGATGTACATATAAAATAAAGCAGTGTCTTGCGCAAAAAAAAAGAGCGAAACCGAAAGCGCATCACCTGTTATATATATATCCCCTACGCAGGAGTAGCAGATGTTTCATTCGGAGATTTCCTTGCGGGATGAAAAGGAATGAGATAGAGATAGAGAGAGAGAGAGAGAGAGAGAGAGAGAGAGAGAAAGAGAGAAAGAGTAGGGGCAGCTGTTCGTTCCTCCGATGGCTAAGCAACGGGAGAACAGACAGTACAGCGCTGACGCTCGTAGTGCAGGCATACATGTTTTGTACGCGCGCTCTTAGGATTTTTATTGTCGTTTGACGCTTTGCTCTGAACACACTGGAAGGGGTGAATTTGAAGAGAAACGTGTGTTGAGGATGAAGTGGCTGATTGACAATGCGACGTTATGAAAAGAAAGTGAGTATATTTTGTTGAAAGTATACAATTGCAGACGCATTAGTTGAGGTTGTTACACCTACGTAACGACGAGGGCAGATTCGAAAAACCAACACCGGTGACTTTCCTTTGGCTATTAGTTTCGTTTTTTTTAAATTTTTTTTATCGACGAAGCAAAGCCGGCATACGCATCCGCAAGAGAATTTTTTAAAATAGCCTATATGATGAAGGGGAGACAGCGGTGCCCACCAGATCTGTTGCGGCACATGTGCTCTTTACTTTTATTTCATTTCTGCGCGTCGCGCTCTAGAAAGAAAATAATAAAAGATGTAGGGATTTGCGGAAACCGTGCCGTCAAAGCATTCCGCGTCACTTGTCGACTGACACAATAATTTTGTCAATTAGCCGCGAAAGTCGACTCGTGTCGCTATTAACCGCGCTAATTTACGCGAGAATTGCAAAGATGAACTAAACGGCAAGTGCACTTTTGCAAACGACGCGGCAATTTTTCGTAGCATGCGCCTGCTGTCGGTTGAATTCATGATTTTCACGGTAATAAGGCGCGCCTGTTAGAGATACATTGGTCATTTTTCGATCGACGCGAAATGAAACGTCGTACTGGTAAAATTTTTACTGGTATTTTCATCGATAACGCGCGTTGGTGAAATGCGTGGTAACGAAACAACGCGACGTATCAAACACATTGGTATACGAAACAACAAATTTCACTGGACTGAAATGAAACAACAAAGTCTAACTTGCCGAGGGAAATAAACAACAATTGAGGAATAGCCGACCAAACTGTTATCTGCAAAACAAACACGCCTGCCAATCGACCACCAAACACTGGTACATCGTAAATCTCGCGTAAAATAAAGGTCGCTCGGAGCAATCGCCGTCAAACGCCCGCCGCAGACGACGACAACGAGAGTGATAGGAAGTCGCGTGTCCTGCGTCTGTATATTCGTTAAAACGCTTTGAGCGACATAGTTCGCGAGAGAAGAAAAAGAATTTGTAGCGCTGCGCCGAACAATAAAATGCTCAACCTATGAAGATCCCCCTAGCGCGAGATCCTTCACGTATCGCATCAATAAGATATTCACGTCGCGCGTGGCAGAGATCCCTTCGTCTTTGTTTTTTTTTCTTTTCCGCTCGCGCGAGACGGTTTCAAAATCTATGCCCGCGTACGGTAAAAGCTCGCACACTGGAATTGTCGCTCGAAAGATGCGTGTAATCCGAATGAGAATGGATGCTCGGAGGTTGCGCGCGATTACGGCCCGCGCTGCCGGTTATTTTAAGCCTCTTAAAAGGCAAAATACGCTCTCGCTCGCGCGGACGAGACGATCCGCCCGCGCTTCATGCGACGAGGCGGGACTGCCAGAAGCGAAAAGTCAAAAAAAGTCCACTTGAGCCTCGGCACGCGCGCGCGTGCCAGCGAATTCAATCAGCGGCAGTTCGGCGTGTCGATGCGTTATTTCCTCGATGTCGGTGCGAGCGGTCGTCCAGAAATCCATGGGGCTGCGGGGAAATGAATCAGCGATGAGTCACGCCGCAATTGCCCTCCACGAGCGCCGCTAAGTATGACGTATGTATCGCGATTAAGCTGAGAGAGAGAAAGAGTGTCGCGTAATCCTTGCCATCCCAACGCGAGCGCGAACGCGGCTCAGCCTTTTATTTCTGCATTGGCGATGCGATTTCGACAAGGAGAAACGATGAAAACGAGAACAAGCTCGCGCATAAATTTGTTTGGGAGAGGTCAGTTGCAGCTGAATAGGTGCTCGTTATCTGTGTCCCTTTGCGGAGCAACCCTTTCTCGACGGCGAGCCGCGCTCTTCTCTCGCGTACACGTCTGTGAAAAGGGCAACTTGGAGCAGCAGCGCACGCGCCCCATTGTGCCGCCGAGGAAAAGCTTTTGTCGCGCGCGGAAGGACCCTCTCGCTCCGAGATAGTGCCGAATCGTCGATAGATACCCGGCGTGACTTTCCGCGCGAGGCGCGTCCTCGGCCCGCCGTTCGATCTCGGGCGTACGTACGAATTTGCGCTTTCGCTGTCCACGCTCAATCAATGGTCGGCCGGCTGATTGTCGAACCCTCGCTCCGTCCGGCGTTGCTCGCCCCCTTGGGGATCACTCGTCGCAGTTGATCCCAACGACACACCAGCCGGCTTCGGCGAAACCGACGAACGCGAGACGGACGAGCGGGCCCAGCGAGGCACGCTCGAGCGCTGCGATCCAAGAAAAGCCCCCGAAAAGCCCGAGATCCATCCGCGGGCAGAAGCTCGTTCGAAATTCGGGAGGCGGCTACCTGCGCCCGCTTCCCCGCCGCACTGCTACGCGAGAGCGCGTGCGCGCGGCTGCGGCGGTGGCGGCGTCGTCGTCGCCGTTAACAACCGCGAGGGGAGCCTTTTGCCGAAGGCTCGTGCACACGGCCAGAGAAAGAGAGGCGGAGAGACAGAGAGCTAACTCGCGCCGCAGCCGGAGAGCCTCGGGTGTGGTTTTCGCGCCATCAAGGAGAGCCCAATTCCCTTTTATTTCGCGGGCCCCCGAGCCTCGCGCGAACCGGGCCGCCGCGATAGACGAGCGAACGAGAAGAGTGGGCCCCCCAGCCGCCAGCGACCGGAATGAGGGAGGAGGCGGAGAGATCGCGGTGATAGATCCACAAGGCTGCAGCATTGACAGACTGCGGAGGCTGCTCGCGGGCTACCGCGGCCGCTGTCTCGCCGAGGCCGCGCCTCGTCGTCAACAACATCACGGCAGCTCGCGGCTCATCGCCCGGTAAGTCAACCTCCGACCCAGTGCGCCTCTGTCGACGATCAATTCCAAACTGATCGGCCGAGTCGCCAGAAGAAAGCTCCCCCAAAAACAAAGCTCTCCGTCTCGCGTGTTTTTCCGAGTATCCTCCGCGCTGCCAATCAATCTCGCCTCTCCCGGGGTGAAGGAACTCTCGACCGCGAGATCCTCTAATTACTTCACCGGAACGAAAATGAAAGGGAGGCACGCAGTAGTTTTTTTTTCTTTGTATATTTTTTTTTTTTTTTTTTTGTTGTTATCTCGACGGCAACTCTGCGCTTTTCACAATGAAAAAAAGGGGGAAAAACACTAAGACAGCGAAGGCTGCGGAGGCGTTTTGTTTGGCACTCCACGCTTAAACTCTCTCTCCCTCTCTCAGGTGTTCCGCGTGACGTCGCCGCGACTCTTTCCGCGTGCAACGACCTGCAGCTCTGGCGCGCATTGTCCTGTTCCGTCTAACTTCGTTTTGCCGTTGTCGCTCGGCGGCGCGGGGCCGCTCGCCCCTTTGCGGAATGGTTCGCGAAGTTACGGTCGCGCGCGGCTCGAGCGTCATCCGTCCAAGTCGAGCATTCGAATTGCAGGCGCGACTGCGAAGCGGCCGACCGAACTTCAAGTATGGCAGATGCAAAGCCATTTTCCACGGGCAAAAAATGTCGAGTCGAAAACGCGAAGATGGCCACAGCAACGCGCGCGCACGGTAACTTCAGAGCGAGAGAGCGAGAGAGAGAGAGAGCCGAAGTGAAGTGAAGAGCCCCATCGATTTTCCGACTTCGCACGAGGGCCGGGTGCGCACACACACCAGCTCTCCGCGCAGCATAGCGACAACACCATCATCATCTCGCGACAGAGCGTTCCTTTTGCTTCTTTTTTTCGCTTTTTCCAAGCGGACCTGCTTTTCATACGCAGAGGTCGAGGTCGATTGCAATTTTATTTTCTAGGCCTAGTTCAGCCGAGGAAAGATCGCCCCGGCCGCGCGTGCATTATACATTTCCGGAGCTGCCTAGAGCTTCAGGGCGTAAACCTCTCTATCTATAAATAAGCCGTGCGTTCTCGTGCTATCTATACTCTGTTTTACTTACATCGGGCGTTTGTTTCCAGGCGCGATTCGTCCGATTGTTACTTGCGCCGAGGGGGCGGGCTTCATTAATGATTTGCAATCGAACGCGGTGCTACGCGATCGCTGTGTCAATCGACCAACTTTCCATAAGCGAAATGAATTGCAAATGAGTTTTGGTCGGTTGACGTTTAGCCGGATGTCAGATCAGAGTCCAACTTTGTCGGCAATGATCGACGAACGAATGAACAGACTTCGGCTTCGATATTCTTTCAAAAGAACTTCACGCTATCGCCAAGAAGCTTTCGAAAATACATCAAAAATCTCAAAAAGCTCCGAAAAAGAGAAAGTCAACAAGTGTCGACAGCCTAATGACAGAAGCTTCCCCCCCCCCCCTGCCCCTCACTGCGCATCGCGTGTGCACCGTATCACCTTCTTTTCCTTCGCCACGGCGAGAAATATATATGGAGCGGTGACGTCACATTGATTGGTTGGTCTCGCGCGTGAATGTATGCATGTGTGTGTACGCGCGCGCGTGTGTGTGGGCTTAGCAACTGCACAGTCGACTTGGAGACGAGCGGCTACACGACTTGTGCACTATTATCGTCGGTCGCGCGGTCAAGTGTCGCTCCTCCTTCGTGTGATACTTTAGCATGGATTGGGGTTGAGCCGCTTGTTCTCGCTCGCGGCTTCTGCCAACCAGCTGTTAAATTGGATTTAAAAAAGAAGCTCGCCTGCATTGTTTTCTTGATTGAAGCACTCTTCGCGCGGTTTTTCTTTTCTTTTTTTCTCTCTTTGGGGTCGATTATTACGCCTGTGCTCGGTTTCTTCCTTTTGCGACAGATAAGGCACGTAACTGTTTTTTCCTTTTTCTTTTTCATTGACTGAATTATCAATTATCATACATTATGTCTGCATGCTCGTGCGTTAACATCATTCAAAGGCAGTCATGCTTTGAAACGTATGTAGTAATTATGGGCAGCATCAAAGAAGCCACAGAAAATTTCGTGTTCAATGGTTTCCTTTTGACGTCCGATTCCAATGATTTCTCGGCACGCACATTCCATTTGAAGAGTCATGCAACGCTGGCATAAAAAAAAATTTCGCAACTTCCTCTCTACCGCGTATGCAGCAGTTTAAACGTATAGAATATTTCAGGCGTCTTTTCGCGATCATTCTATTTACCATTAGATACATCGAGAGCAAGTCAGTGCACAGTCTATCGAATCACGTATCACAAAGACCTCGTTCTAATAATCAAGTATCGCGATAGTCGCGCGTGTCACTGATCACGTGTACTGTATCGCGTCCAAGTCGAGCAATGAAACGTTGATGCTTTTGCAGATGTCCGGCACGACGGTCGAGGCTCGGCCCATCACTAAATGCGCCGTCATCGTCGACACCATCATCACGACGTCAGCGACAACAGGCAACGAGACGAAGGGTTGCTTTGATCGGCGCACGCCAGTGGAACGACTACAGCGAGAGCTGCGATGAAGACTCGCCCGATTGCAGCAACGCTCAGCAGTCACCGTCGTCATCGCCAAATATCACGAGCTCTAATCCAAGCAGCAGTAACACCACCACCACAGCAGCGACGTTGAGTAACAACGTCGACAAGGACAATAATATGCAGCCAAAAATCGACTGGAAGCTCGCGCTGCTCTACACTCTCCTTGTGCTGCAGGTGCTCATTGTTATGATTTATGTTACTTCGACACCGCACGTTACCGATCTTAGTGCTCCGGTTGGAAGGGACGGCGTCAGCTTCGTGGACATGGAGGCGCCTCAGGTAGGAGCTTCTCCGAAAGCTTGGCGATCGCAGCTTTCAACGGTTTCACTTGTTTTTTCAGCAATACTACGAGAACAAGAGCCGCGAACTGCACATAATAACCGGCGAGACCAGCCTCAGAGACGTGCGCACGTTCAAGCTCTTCCACGCGTACAATCGCACCCAATGCTGGCGCAGCGGCGTGGACGAGCGTCAAATGCAGCGTGACGATCTGGATAACGCAGCGACGAACGAAGTCGAAGAACGGCGCTGCGCTTGCAACCAAGGCTGGCACGGCTCGGACTGCGGTCAGCCGGAAGTCGTGTGGCGCGCTATCATGGCATCCAAGCAGAACGTGAAATTATCGAGGCGTAAGCTCGCCAGACGCATCGTGCACACCTTTTACGTGAGCGACCACAATTCTGCCATAGCCGAGGTGATCGTCGAGGAGTTGTATCCGGTTGTCGATCTGTTCGTCATCTGCGACCTGAGCTCCGCGGAGGACAACTTCCGCCATAAGCTGGGTGAGTACGGCGCCTCGCGCGCGCGCGATGTGAACAATCGCCGGTGGAGAGGATAAGAGCGCGTCTGTGGTTGTTGCAGCAAAGGGCTTCCTGGCCAAGCAGCAAGACAAGATCCTGTACGTGAACATGTCGGCCAAGCTGAAGAAACCACCACGAGTGATCTCCAAGTACGTGTGGGAGTACGTGAAGAGAATGGTGAAGAACATCCGCGACGACGACATCTACGTGACGACGGACGCCGAGCAGATACTGAACGCTCGCGCATTAATGTTCCTAAAGGTGTACGACGGTTGGCCGCAGCCGATAGGCTTCCGCTTGCGTTGGTCGGTCTTCGGTTTCTTCTGGCAGCATCCGCAAAAAACAACCATCACCATCGGCGCTTGCACCGTCGGCCTGATGCGCGAGGCACATCGCTTCAACTCTTTGATTCTCGAGAAGGAGCTGACCAACGAGATACAAGCGAGGGATACTCTGGGCTTGGTTATCGGCGACTTGAATCACTACGGCGGCTGGTACTGTCAATTCTGCCAAGGTCCGGCTAATGTGCTGGTGGCGCTGCGAGAGATGAATCGAACTCGTGAACTGGTGATCGAGCGCAGTGTCGATGTGCCATTTATCGAGGATCTCATTGGCAGTGGTATGTGGTTCGACGAGAAGACTAGTTTGCTTAGAGCCTACAGATCGAGAGAGTCGTATTATGCACCCGATACTGTTACCAATAAAACCTGGAAGTACGACTGGCTCGTGGAGAACTTTTATGCCAAGCTCGATTACTACTGAGGTGTGCAAGTGTGCAGTGTGTATGTGCTATAACTCTCTCCCCCCTTATCCCCTTACTACCGTACGATTACCCCATTGATAATACTGTGATAACGTGCACGCGCCCCAAATTACGTTCGACGTATCGTTCTAGGCGGCTTATGATGATCCTTCTTTCTTGTTTTCCTTTGTTTTCCGACAGACCAACGAAAGCTTACGTTGACTGTGTTCTCACAAGACTGTGTCATTGTTTTTGTATTTACGAGATCTTTTATTGACTTAATAAAAGCGTTTTCAATTAAATTAACCCTCAATCTCACTCATTTCTTACTCACCAGTTATACTTGAACAATGCCAGCGACGTGGCTATGTAGGGGATCATGAAATACATGGAGAACAGATGAGCTTTCCATAATTTGCCGGACAATTCCACAATGTTAAAGATGAGGATACTCCAGGCTATTATTAGACTTTGACCGACTTCCAAACCATTAACTCCAGCTAATATGTTTATGGCATTCGTGCAGAAGACAGCTAACATTCCCATGTAAACGTAATAAAATATCCATAGGTCAACAGAATCTCCTAACAGTGTTCTAAAAGGCTTTGGCACTATTATAGTTGTGGAATTAAAGTTTACATAGTAAACCATCAGTAGAGGTAAACTAGCTATGGTTGGTAACATGATTTTGTGCCTCCATCGTAGGTCTAACACATCATCTGCGAAACCCAACAGCACCATGCAGCAGATTGACAACAGAGCTGACAGGAACTCTACAAACTAGGCAATTTTAAATCTAATGATTGCAGTATACTTTTCAGGTTTTTAGGTCATGTTCAATATTGATATTAAAATTATATCATCCAGTATCAGAAAAAGCTAATGGAAATATATATTTTTTGATTTTAACATAACTTAAATTAACTTCAGTTAATATCTTTTGTTTTTAAATTTACAAGAATCTGTTATTGTAAATTTTACAAATATAGGATTGTCATTCATTTAAGTAAAAAGCATTTCCGATAATCTAAATGAAATGAAAATATAAAGGTGATTGCAAAAATTTTGAAAAAGAATCTATTTTGTGAAGTAGCTTATTTTTAGCAATAAAATTTTTTAAATTACCTCACTGTGTGGGAAGCTTTCCTTGTAGAAAATATGTTTACTAAATGGAAAGGGAATGAATATAAACATAGTGACTAAAAAAGTACATCCACAAACTACACCCACAGCTTCTGGTCTGAAAATACAATAACGCTGTAAAAGCAACGATTCGAATGCAATTTGTCAATAAAATATCTGTTCTAATCACTATCAAAATCAACGCTGATAATGACAGCTTTTACTTACATTCTTATTCGTTCTTTTTTACTCATATCGATGCCACTTAGGTTAGCTTGAATAAAAGTCTTCATTAAGCTCGGAATCAATCTCACAGTTAAAAAATACATAAAAACTGACGTCACGACATTAACACACAGCGGAAAAATCGGAATTACCGATTGTTTCATTTTTAATATGGCCTATAATTACTAATAAACTATCACCTGTAAAAAACTACAAAAATTAAATACCGGAATCAACCGTGCACAAACGTGTAATGCTTAATGCTGATGCAGTCATGGCGCTATGCAGAGATACACCAGAGATCAGGAAGAACAGAGAGATTGAAAGCATGCTCGACCGTGAGCCAACTTTCGTTGGAGCGATTGTAGCGGCCGCGCTTGGAATCTCATCCATTTATGAAAAGAAGGGTATGTAAGGCCCTCGCCACATATGCGCATATGCGCGCGTACGAGGGCCTAATATTGTATTGGATGGATAAACTACGTTTGAGGGGCAAGAGCGAGCAAGAGCGAGCAAGAACGAGTTAGAGGACGAATAGAGAAGAACATTACGATGAATGAGATACTAATAGCTGCGAAATACTTCTATTACACTTTCATTTTTACGCGCGATTTCTTTTCACGTTGTAAATTTTCGATGCTCAAATAAATATTCTGTCTCTTTCGTATTAACGAATGCCCTGCGAACACAAATTTTTAATTAAATATACTTACGTGCGCTTGTTCCAACATCTTCATCATTTAATGCTATCCACGGGATTAAAATAAATTAAATTAGATGGCGCACAAATAGGGCGAATAGATTGAAGTAATTTATATCAATGTATATTTGAAATGCTGATGAAAAATAAAATGTAACAAAACTCAAATGGAAAAAATCGGTATATGTTACAATAAGTAAAATAAGATTAAATAAATTTAATCTAAATTCAAACTTGTTGGACTTGAGATTTTTCAGCATTAAGCGAATACATTTCCGCATGCGCAAATAAATGACTGTTCAAAATAATAATTTTTTCTGAACTAATTTAAAGGCATTTGATTATAAGTAAAATAATAATCATTTTTGTTTTCGAATAACATAAAAATTAGCCTAGTTTAACCAAAGTTCATTTAGGTCAGGTTGGTCAGTATACGACAAGAAAACTCGAAGTCAAAATTGCAGTCTCTTCGCGCTCTATCTGCGCACCATTCAACTAATTTTCTTTCAGGAGCTTGGACAGTTGCAGAGTCAAAGGGAATAAAATATTTATTAGAATAATGAAACCGACCTATTCTTTTTCCTTTGCAAGAAAATACACCCTTAGAATAATTAATTCATTTAGACACTGAAAAGTGAAAATATAAAACGAAGTACCCATCGAGTATGAAAATGAAGGTGTATTATAAAAAGGTCGCGGCTGCAATTCGTTCTATTCTGCCCTTGCTTCTCTTTGTCCTAGTTCTAAAGCCCCTCAAAAACTATAGCTTGTCCATCTCTTAGCCCTCTATTTGCTAGATGGACAAGGTTTCAAGCACTGCCGCTAGGATCGCCCCGACGAAAGTAAACACACAATCGAGCATCAACAATGCCTTTAGCAATCTTCCTCTTTATCCTCCTAATGCCTAATCTCCGGTTGCGCGATGATAACAACAAACTTGTATATATATATAAATTCGGAAACGACGAAATCGGTGTCTTATGACGTCAGTATCCGCCATTTTTAAAAGCCATTTTAAAGCGCGCGGATTTTTAATAACAACAGCATAGACCAAACATTTTCGAATATTTCGTAAAAAAACTGCGTAAAAAAACTTCGTATTCATCGCGAATGAATCAATTGCAAATAATTACGAGAGAACTATTATAAAAATAACGTATTATTAAAAAGTCAGCATAAAAATGAACGACACGTCATCAAAGGTAAGTATAAAAACTCGTCGAAAGAAAAGCCCTCACATGTTTCCGCTACACGGGCACATTCAACCCGTCTAATTTATTCATATAGCATCCAACACAGGCACCTTGCAAAAGCGAAGTAGCAAGCGAGTCTTTTGCGGCGGAATACGGCGTCCGGTGAGTTGGCAACAATTGGGCGTTGACATATCTCTTTCTCTCTTGGCGGCGGTAGCGGTATAGTCCTCTCTCTTTCTCTCTCGCTCACTCTCTCTCTCTCTTTCTCTCCTCTCTTGCACTGTCTCGCAGTCTCAGTGAGTGTGTGGGAGCCGAGCCCGGTATGGCTATCAGCACCGGAGTATGCAAGTAGTTCTAAACTAGCTAAGCTTCGCTCTTGAAGAAGATGGCCATTAATCTGACGAAGAACAAGGATGCCCTTGTCAATGCTTGGAAGAGCGTCGTCGATGATAAATCTGCTACCGATTGGCAAGTCTTTTTCACTCAAACAAGAAAAAAACTAAAATATACATAGATTTTCGTCCCCGCCGGCGGTATATCGTGAGAGCGGGTGCTCTTATCCGTGCGAGAGATTTCTCGCGAGAGAGTTCTCGTTTTCTCGTAATTGCTACTTTATGTCTAGTTGTGCGTGTAATCAACGTATGTGCACCGACATACCTTATTTCACGTACTATTGTCCGAATGGGGGAATTGTTTTCTGGGTTGGAAATTGCGCTGCTTGTGAAATATTCTCTTTGAAAAGATTTTACCTGTATACAGTGTTTCTTTTTAATTACATGCATTTTTAAACGAACATTCGCTCTCTTTGCAATTGCTTTTTCAATTACTTTTACTTGGGAGTCTTTTTTATCTGAAGACTTATTTATTGAATAATCATTTTAAGCATATAAATAAATTATCTCACCAGAGATTACAGAATAATCTCTGCTTATATCTATATATCTTCTACAGTCTGCAAAATATAAAGAATACTAAAATAATTCTAATCCAATGTGCTTTACAGGGCTGTGTATGGTTATGAGGGCCAAACAAATGTTTTAAAAGTTGTTAGTTCTGGTAAGGGAGGATTGAGGGAGATGATTGAGGAGTTAAACGAGGGATCGATTATGTATGCATTCTGTCGGGTCATAGATACCAAAACTACATTGCCAAAATGTCTGCTAATAAACTGGGTAACTATTCTATAGTTTTCACTCTATCCATGCAAGTTATTGATATATACATACTAATAAACTTAACATTGCAGCAAGGTGAAGGTGCACCTATTGTAAGGAAAGGAACTTGTGCAAATCATATCAGAGATATCGAAAATTTGTTGAAAGGAGCTCATATAACAATAAGTGCTCGGTGTGAGGAAGATGTTGAAGTTGACTTGATTATGGAAAAACTGTCAAGGGCTACTGCTTCATCTTATAAATTTAATGAACCTCGAGGTGAAAATGGAGGACATGCAGGTCCTGTAGGGACAACTTATCGCAGGTAATTTTATAGTAACATAATTAAAAACAAAATGCATCTCAATGTAAATGACTCATACTATTTACTGAATTTTCCAGAGTCATACCAGCTCAAGAAATTAATGCTAGTGAGCGTGACCAATTCTGGCAAAAAGAAGAAATTGAAGAAAAGCAGCGTTTGGAGCAAGAACGCGCTCGTAATCAAGAAAGTCGACGGAAACTTGAGGAAGAAGTTCGAAAACGCGAGGAAGTGGAGAGCAAATTACGTGAACAAAAGGTAATATCAAGAACTTTTTCTTTATAAACACTTGTACATGAACGCTTTTATTTGTGCAGGTTGTTGCAAAGGAAGATAAAATTGCCAAGTTACGGGAAGCAGAGAAAAGAGCAGAGGAGATCAAGAATTTGAGAAATCAAAACAATTCGTCGAACGATAAGAATGGTGATTCTGATGACGAGCCAAAATCCCGTAGCGATGAGTTACGCAGACAAAGGAATATGGAAGCGCAGCAGTTGATAGCCCAGAGAACAATCAATGCCAGAGCTATTTTTGAACAAAACAGCAGTGCTGGACAAACAAGAACAGCTATGACTCATCAACTCAGAGGAAATCACGTTGGTGCTGCTAAAAGAGCATTTGAACAAAATCAAGTTAAACAAGGCAAATCAAAGGAGACTGTTAAATCCGAGTAAGTACATTGAAAATTCAATTGTATTGATTATAGATGATTTTATAGATATGTAAATTATGATAATTATCTTAATTTGATTTTACTTTTAGTATTAAATCAAATTCTGAAGTCAAACGAGAAATCGTACAGCCTCTACTGCAGCCACAAGCACAGCCCCAAGCACAGCCACAAGTACAACTACCACAACAGATAGCTTCTCCTCAAATATCACCTCAAGTCGAACCGGTAACGCTGCCGATAATCGTGCAGCAACAACAGAATAACATTGAAATCAAGCGAGAAGAACCGTCACAAATTAAACAGAATTCTATTGTTGAGAATAACATCAACCATGAAGAATTGACTAATAATATAGAACAAGTACAAGAGGAACCAGTGGAAACACAGCCAGCATCAGCTCAGAACATTGATGAAACTGAAAATGAGTTGTATGGGCAATTGGAATCAGGACAGTATTTATATCTTGACCCTAATAATCAAGGTATGAAGGCCAGAGCTCTTTATGACTACCAAGCAGCCGATGATACTGAGATTACATTTGATCCTGGTGATATCATTACTCATATTGATGCTATTGACGAGGGATGGTGGCAAGGGCTCGCGCCCGATGGCACTTATGGGCTTTTCCCCGCTAATCATGTTGAAGTTATTAATTATGGTTCAACATGATGCAAACACATCAGTACTACGTTTTATGATTAATTACCTGGTGGTAAAATGATTCTGTATAATTCTTTTTTTTCCTTTTCGTTCCCAGCAATTGCTTTCTAGAATAACTTTACTCAAATGAATGTTATATAGGATGTTGAGATCACCCTCATTCTTTCGATTTTTTTAGCCTACGGCGCTACTTAATTTTCTACAGAGATTGTGCTTAACGTCGACAAGACGTTTGTAAAGTTTTCTACTTACATACTGTTACTGTAGCCAAATTTTTGTAAACGACATGTTCATGATCGAGAATTTGAAAATTTTTATACATTTGTAGTAGAGCAGCATTGACACTCGAATCTGTTTTAGATTAATAAGAAACAAAAAAAAACAGATATGGTAGCATTTCAGATTAGAAAAGTCTTTTCACCAGGTTTACATTGTTGCAAAATATTTTTATTATATAAAATTACGCACTCGATCCCCGGGTAGCTTGCATATAATTGATATTAAATTCATAGAATAACTTCCGTTTTATTAGCAGGTAGCCATATATTTTACATGAAAAATAGAAAAATAGATTATATATGAAAATTATAAAACTATTAAGTACAGTGAAAAACAGAGTTTAGAAGCCAAAGTATTAAATTATTTTACATGACTGAATGGTACTTAACTACAAACAGTAATATTGAAATTTAAAATCAAGCCCAGCAGATAACAGTATTTTCAATTTCTTTTGTAAACTGTTTCATTTTTTTTAACACGTTGACAGTTAGTAGATTATTTGTTTATGATTTAATTAAATAGATAGATATTAAGTTTATAGCTCAGGGATTTCTGAACAATTTTTTTATTGCGAAAAATAAGAGTTTAAGCTTTCTTTTACTTGAAATGGTGCAATGAGTTGTACTCACTATCCAAGTCATTATCATTTGTACATATTTTACATTTTATTAGGAGTTTAGAATCGTGAACTGAAGCGTAAAAGGAGTTTTATTTATTTCCGTACTAAATTTTCCAAGTATTGAAGAAGAAACTTCTCATTTCTGGAAGTACAAATTTTAAAAAATGTAGAAATATTAAGTTTGTAATTTATATCAAGCGACTATAATAATGATTGGCTAAAAATTAGTTTTTAAATTGAGCTATTAAATCGTATATAGTTGTTACTTGATTTTGAAAGTATAAGAAATAATTTTAAATTGAAAAATAAAAAAAAAGTATAAGAAAAAGGTTCTTGTGGGAGTTATTGTTCTGTATTTTATCCAATTATAAATGTATATATTATGATTAAAAATCAATTTCATCCTAATGAGTTACAACTATAAAATTAAATTAGAAACAAATGAAATGTTGTTTAGATCCATTTCAAGGTGTAATTCATCTGTGAATGAATTGAACTTGCATATGACATCTTCCTCTAATCGTAATATTGTATAACATATTAATGTCTAAGGATTTTTAGAAAATAAAGTATACTGCCAACATTTGAAATGTATTTACAGCTTTATTTTTCTTTCTTTGATCCTTTTAAAAGAAAGAAATCATATTTTCTGCAAACAAATTGATTATCAATAACTATCAAAAATTAGAAAAAGTATTTTTGACAAGTATAGTCTAAACCGTGTTTATAAATCGTTGTTTGGATCTTATAAAAAAAATTGATAAATTATTAATTTTATTGTTTCATTGACGAATCGCCTAAGCAATGCTAATTGTTTAATTACACTTAACATAAAGATTTCTCACGATCGTGAAATTTCAATCCTTCTGTAGATGACTAAAAATGAATATCTATACAACTAATTACAAGAAATATCAATCATACTTTTTGCATGTTACAAATAAAAAATGGACATTTCATATACAATTCAAAATCTTCATTCAAGAGCGCGGGAAATAAATGTGCACCGAAATATTTCTGAAACGCAATAAATTTTCGCTTACGTATATAACATTCATTTGTATTAGAAGTTTCAAAGATTTCCACCACTGTCTCCACCGCCTCCGTTACCCGAATGACTGAGAAAAGCAAGATGACCCTTAGGACACTTATTGGCATAGTGACCCTTTCGACTACACTTGTAACATGTAACTTCTTCCAAAGGTTTCTGTGGTCCACGAGGGCCATCACCGCGTGGACCATTATGCATATTCGAGCGATGATGATGAGAATCGTTGGCATTACCTCGATGATAATCTTTGTCCATTTCTTGTCGCATTTGTTGCTCACGCATGTCTGCCGGCATTTTATTACAGTAAATAGCCTTATGACCAGTTTCCCCACAAAAATGGCATGTGATCATCACCTTCTTGCCTTCCTTAGGTGCTAAATCTTGAATAGCCGGTAATTCGAATCTTGGACTAAAATTTCGCGAATTATATGTAAAATTATTCAAGAAAGTTATGTATTTTAATTTTAAAGAGTTTTCAAATACTTACTGCATAAATTTACAATTTGGTCCTTCTGGGCAAAATCCAGCCAAATAAGCCATACACAAAACACGCCTGACATGCCGATGCCTACATAGTGGGCCATGCCTGCAGAATCCTCTGTCATACCAAGGACAATCTTTTACTTTTGTTTCTGGATCAATATGTAAAAAGGGACATTCTTTGTTGTGACATGCATCTGTAAATTTAAAAATATACAAGATAAGAATTAGATTCTCAGTAAATTATTTGAATTAATCATGATATTATAACATAATACTTACTGAAGCGTGAATAGAAGTAACATTCTGGCATTTTTGACATATCATATTCATGTAAAAATTCACACTGATCTCCTTTTTTACACAAACCACGCAACCAGTGTTTACATACAATAGTTCTATCTCCACGAACATGACGGAATGGACAAGCTGAACCTTTAGAACATGCTCCTTTAGGATAGAATTGACAAACTGCTGCAACAGACTCTGTGAAAAAATAAAACAATTTGTTATATTACAATTAAGAGAAATTGTATGATTAAGCTCATTTGCACTTTATTCGTCAAATAACACCAATCGTTTATATTTTTATAGTAACAATAAAAAATTGATTTATATCACTGCATCAATTTTGGAAATAATTTAGATATACTTTTTCAGTACGCACTTTATAAAATACTTTAAAGAAAACACAAACGATAACCTGAACCCTTAAAAGTCGAATGTACTTACTGTCCATTCCTGTGAAAGGTAAAGGTAAAGCTCCATACTGTTCGTCTAATGCAATTTCAATATCGAAACGCATATTGTCCACGTTTGCAACTATGCACTCCATTTTTAAATTAATTTATAATACTTTTTAAAACATAAATTATAACCTATGTCTACAAAAACCGCACAAACGACGCCATCGCCGCATCTGGTATGTGAATTAGTGATTAGTGAATGTGAATGTGAAATCGGCCAAGCTGAAACGAATAGTCGACAACACTGTAATCGCTCACAGTCCATACTAGCTCAGAGTGTGTGTTCTGTGGGTATGTTGTATTTAAACGTCAATAATTATTAATTCGCGAAAAAAAGAAATAAAAATACTCTCGTTTTATATGTACTCTAGCGTAAGTAGTAGTATGGTACATCGATTTTTTTTAATATTTTCTTGTCTCGTATATTTTCAACAAAGCGCGCAATATAACATCAAAATATAAAGTTAAATAATATTTTAAGTAAAACGCATTTTATGATAATGCGCTTGGTTGAGTATTAGAATTAATGATATCATATATAAAAGACACTCGCCAACGTTATTCATAAATTATAAATTTTGTGTTAATTTAAATGTTTCCCGCTTTCATGATACTAACACAAAGAAATTTTAGAACAGCTGGTCTTTTAAAGTAAAAGTCCATTATTTTCATCTTTTTAGCGCTGTCCTAAATATAGTGAACAGGATCTGTCAGTCTTGACGTGTGATAAATATTGCATTGTCCAACGAATAGTATTATGTTAGGTATCGAAAAAGTATTAAAGAAACGTTCGCGGGTGTGATGAGGATGAAGTATTTTCGTAACAAACAGTAACGAACAAGAACGTCTTTACACGATAGAAGATTGAAAATCCGTAAATCAAAGCGGAAAACGTTCGAAAATCATATACAATGCAAAGTAAAAAGTACTTTTGATTTGCGTTTGTTGTCTGGATTGAGCTTGAGGAGTCTTTGGCAATTGATTCTGAAAAAGCTGCGCTCTAAAATGTCATCTGAAGGTCCCTTAGATAATATTCAAAGTTCTACAATAAGGTTGTGTAATCTTCGCTTGAACAATGAAGAGGTCGAAGATGTTGCTGCAGGAGGTGAAGCTGAAAATGCTGAAGCCTTCAATGACTCACCACAGAACATGCAACCAGCTGGTAACATTGTATTGAATAGAGCTAGACGAGCTCTTACCTTTTCGTGTGATGAGGAACAAGTAAATGTTCGTGCTGGAGAACCATCTACCTCTAATTGTGATAAGTATGTAATCATTCATTTCATTGTTATCTCATAGCTTTATTAATAGCAGACAGTTGCATTGTTTTATTTGCAGCAGACCACCAAGTAACTCAGCCAATATTGCCAGACCAGAAGCAAGAGCACGCACCAGTATTCCGGTAGAAAATGGACAATCTAGTTTTACAGCATCATCAACCTATAATTGGCAAGGGACAAAAGCAACTATGCGAGAGAGATTCACTTTTCTCTTCAACAATGAAACACTTTCAGATGTAAAATTTAGAGTTGGAAGAGGTACACAGCAACGTGTTATTCCAGCCCATAAACTAGTCCTATCATCTGGCAGTGCAGTATTTGATGCTATGTTTAATGGAACATTAGCAACTTCATCCAATGAAATCGAAGTACCTGATGTAGAACCAGAAACATTTTTGGCTGTGTTACTATTTCTTTATACTGATGAAATATTCATCAATCCTGATACGGTTATGACAACCCTTTATACAGCTAAGAAATATGCAGTATCTTCATTGGAAAAACATTGTGTGGATTATTTGAGAAGCAACTTAACAACTGACAATGCATTTTTGCTACTTGCACAAGCTCGACTATTTGATGAACCTCAACTTGCCGCTGTTTGTCTTGACACAATTGATAAGTTCACAACTGATGCATTAGGTGCTGATGGATTTACTGATATTGACATTGATACTTTAATTACTGTATTAGAACGCGATACTTTAAGAGTTAGAGAACTGAAGATTTTTCAAGCAGTAGTAAGGTATGAATGTTTGTACATTATTTGTTGTTTATTTGTCAATGCAATAAATTTATTGAATTCTAAAATATTACTTTAGATGGTCAGAAGCAGAATGTGTTAGACAACAGTTACCAGTTACACCGGATAACCAGAGATCGGTTTTAGGTAGAGCTATTTCTTTAGTACGTTTCCCTTTAATGTCGATGGAAGAATTTGCAAGTGGACCAGCACAGTCTGGACTGTTGACTGATAGAGAGGTATAGACGTTTGGTTTTTCTTATTATATCAGACATTACAAGATTTTAAGATAAATTGAATTTCAGATTGTCTCAATATTCTTATATTTTACGCTTAATCCTAAACCGCGAGTCGGATTTGAAGCCATGCCACGTTGTCTGATGATGGGAAAGGAGCAAACTGTTTGCCGCTTTCAACAAACCGAAAGTCGATGGGGTTATAATGGTACCAGTGATCGAATAAGGTAAAATAATAATTTATTTAAAAAATACAAAATGAAATTATAACACCCTATTATTGAATTTGAGTTGTTATGATTTTAGATTTAGTGTCGATAGAAGAATCTTTCTCGTTGGATATGGAGTTTACGGCAGTGTTTTCGGACCAGACGAATACGATGTTGTGATTGAGCTTATCCACACTGCTTCGTTAAAAGTTATTGCTAAAAATTCAACAAGTTTCAGCTGCGACGGATCCAATTATACTTACCGTTTGATATTTAAAGAGCCAGTAGAAATATTGCCAAATACTATTTACACGGCCTCCGCTACTTTTGACGTTTGTTTTTTTTAGTATTTTATAGTATAGACATCTGAACGGTTCTTACAAATTGAATTATTTTGTAGGGGCCAGATAGTCATTACGGATCAAAAGGACTTAGAAGAGTTACGGTAGACTGCGGTCCTAAAAATGGTAAAGTGAAATTTTCATTCAACTATGAGGCTGGTGATAATAACGGGACATCGATTGAAACTGGACAGATTCCTGAACTCATTTTCTATACATAATAAAATCGTTAATATTAAGGCACATTCCTTTGAAGTTAACACACACACAAACACACATACACACGCGCGCGCGCGCGCGCACACATTTTGAATTACTTTATTAAGGAAAGTGATGAGATAACGATCACCTGTAATTCAACTTGGATATTCGTTGAAGAGAAACACATTATTCTAATTGTTGATGTTTAGCTCAACAACTATCTCTCGTCAAACATCACATTTTCGTTTTTCATCCTTTATAAGTACACATAATTGTGGTATGTTGAATTTCGTGATTTATTAAATAATCAAATGATAATTATAAATTGTACATTGAATTTTAATTTTCATACGTATATAACGTCAAATAATATTCAAAATATTATATATTATCAATTATTATCAACTTAGAATGAAAAATAAATAAAACTAACGAGGTTTTAAACATACGACACTATCTGCTTGTTTTCTACTTGATCCTTTATATCCTCTTTATAATTATTTAGTTATTCATTATAGAAATCTTTCAGAGTGCACTGAGGTCACGTCAAATAATAAACTAATTTGTTAATTATGTATGTACAAAGTTTACATGGCAGTGTAGAAAAAAAAAATAAAGAACTATGAAAGTAGAGTTCTGTACACAAAAAGAAAACTGAATAAATTACTAACTAAAACATTTGAAATATGCTACAACTATTTGAAGTATAATAATTATAAAATTTATTTATTATTGATCTAGTAAGATTTACTAGAGAGCTGAATCTGTTAATAAACTAGAGGTCATCCGCACTCACTAGTTCATGAAGAAAAGATTTCTATTTAACTATGACTAATAAAAAACATTAAGTAAAAATGTAAACTTACAATTTATTACTCAATACTTTCAATTTTTCGTAAAAAAACATTAGATTTTTTTGTTTGCTTTGCTTAACGACTTATAAAAATACAATTGATTAAAAAAGCTGCTTGAAATAAAAATTACAAAGTAAAATCATCGCCGATAGCAAAGCAAAGTAAATTAAAGAAAAACACAAAATATATAAGAAGTAAAAAGGAAAAAGTGTCAAGTACAATAATCGAAAAAAGGATTGCTACATTTCATCGATCAGCTGTTATATTTGTTTTCATTAGAAGTTTCTATATTGTTATACTTGCTACATTAATTGAATACGTATTGCGGCAGTACATGCAAAAAGTTTCTCTATGTTTTTGTAATAATTTTTTTTCTTTCTTGTTCACCTCGTCATCATCATTCGCAGGTTTAGCAAAAATAAAAAAAGATTCGTCGCGCCTTACACATTTAATATATACTCCTTCGGAAGCTAAAAAACATTTATAATAATTTTGGTGCATGGAGAAAAAGTATTTTTTTCTCTGTTGCAAAAAAAAGAAGAAAAATGAGCACACGTCTAAAAACTTGTCAACTACGAATCGTTCTGCGTTCGTATTTCATTATTTTTGTTTTAAAGGTATAAGACTAGTATCTGAGATTTACAAATTTAGTACATTTAACGTAGCTATACAATAAGTGTTTTGTCTTTATACATAGATATAAGTTTGGAGAGACTCTACATCAATACACAGAGATTAAAAGATACATTGAGGCGAACACTTTTATACGAGACACATTAGCTATAAACAGTAAGGAAGAGATACGCGGAGATAATATTTTGGCGAATTCAAGAGAATTCGCTCGAGCGTGCCACACACACATACACGTAAATGCAACGCTGGATCCATTACTCCACGCACCAAATAAAAAATAAAAAAAATAAAAAAAATAGTGGATGATCGAAAGGAGGGCACGCGTACAGAAAAGGAGAATCTGTCGTTTAAAAGGTACAGCAAAGAAAGAAAAGGAAGAAAGGAAAACACTGGCCTCTCGCGACGAAGACAAACAACACTTGGCACTTTCTTCTCTCTGGCTCTTTTTCCTCACACCTCGGGACTAAAGTCTAAGGTAGTGGGACGCGAGGTGCGCGCCGCAGAATGGTGTCCTCTACTCCTTGTTCTCTTCACTTTCATCGCCGCCAGCTTCCTTTTCCTCGGTTTCGGCGACACCTCGCAACTGCAACCACTGCGGACCTTGATGTAGTCCAACGTCCACGACGAGGTGCCGCCGTTGCCTGGGAACGCAGGGAATTGGTGCTGCTGTGGTTGCGACTGTTCTGGCCTATGGCGGTGCCTCCGGTGCTGCTCGCCTTCCTAGAAAAATGAAAAGCACACGCTGCTCACGCTGCTCGTCCATCGGAAAAGCGCACCCACGCGGTTCGGGCGTTTGCAAAGCAATGAGCGTTAGGGCTGCCGAGGCTTGCGAACTGACCAAATTCTGAACGATGGCGTAGGTGTAGGAGAACTTTTGCACGCATCTCGACTGAGCTTGAAGTTTGCGATCGATGAATCGGCAAGGCTTGTCGAGTACATCCGACCTGCAGGAGTACTCGAAGAAACGTTGCGCGTTCTCGCCATCGCGATACAACTCGACATACATGTCCTGCCGATTGCGACCGCCCTGCGGCTCGACCATCTCCTCTATCGTCGGGCAGCAGTCCACTGGTAGGCCTTCGTCGCCCCCCTCCTGCCTTATCAGCGACTGCATCTCGGGATACGTCATGCGCCTCGTCGTCGACTCATCCGATGCCCTGCAAAGCACCGCCAATCGTTGACCGATCGATTCGCTTGGCTCGCTCGGCTAATATGCCGATAGTCGTCACTTACCAGCGAGTAAACTGATCTCCCAAGTGATGATCTCTGGGCTTGCGCGAGGAAAAGTTCAGTGTCTGGTTACTGGCGGCAACGAGCCGCGTGCAAAGGACTGCGGTCAGCCAAACCACCTGTCGACAGAATTCAATGCGTCCGTTAATTGCTCCGTCAAGTCGCGGTGCGCGCGCCGTCGGCCTTGCGTCGGCAGATCGCCCGACGCCGTTGGAAACGCGACCGAGGCAGTGCCGCGCGCGCGAGGCCTGGCGTCATTATCAGCGCGGGCTCGAGCAATCAAATCTCTCGGCTGGCGCCACTCCAGCTACACTCCATAAGCGCTGCAAATTTGCCGTGAACGCGCGGCGTATTTGCGTTTGCCACACGAGCCATTCCATAAATCTCGCTTGCCACATCGGCGCACCATCGCCGTCTATCACCGACATGCACGTCTGCGCAATCTATCAACAATATTTAACCTCTCACGCGCGCTTCTGCATTACAGCCTCGCGCTGCTTCCAATCCTCAATTAAAAGCAACAGAAGAGACCGCAATGTTCCCATAGCATGCAAATGGGCGCCATACCGCAAACGTATAATGCCCCCCTTGTTCTCTCGCGATCTTAATTGACGCGTAAAATAATTTATGCGCCGGCTCCGTACGAAGGAACAAGGAAGCGCCGAGGCACGCGATTCGCGATTCTACGCGTCGAGTGCGAGGGTGCGAATCCCAACGATCGATGTATTTCCGCGCGCAGGTCTAATCTCAGCGCGAACGCGTGCCAATTAAAAGGAGGAGGCGCGCATCCGATTAGCCGCCGGCCTAGAAGCGATACGGTCACTCGCGATCGCCGAATCGTTGCCGGCATACGCTGCGCGCCGCCTCGTTATCGAGCGTCGGGCCAAAGGGCTCCCGGCGTAAGAGCGAGCGCGCGAGAGACGCTCGCTCTTACGAGGTGTTAACGAGCGTGTAAACTCGGGAGGGGCGCCCGCGCGCTCTTGATTTGTGGAGAGCGGCCGACTACTTTTTCTCCGAGTGCACAGAGTGGATGCGCGCGATAGTGCAGTAACCTTCGAGGGCTTGGCTCGCTTCCATCGGGCGCTTATTTACATAAGCCGCGCATCCCTTTCGCGCGGCTAAAAGGATTCTCGGCTAAACGCTTCGCCGATATACCTTCTCTGCTGGTCGCAAGTGAAACGGGTATTATATAGGCGGGACGACGAGCCGCTTCTCTTATCGTTTATCGAGCCTCTCGCGAATGAGAAGCACACGCGACGAACAATGCCAGCGAGTCTTTATATCTTGGTAGGTCTCGTTGCATTTTTTCTTTGCGCCTTCTCAACGTCTTCCTCGTATCTCTTTTGCGCTCTTGCCTTTTCGAAGATTACGCGTTCTCTGGTGCGCAACTAGGGCATTGCATTGTTCTGGCGTGTTTTCGTTAATGTTGCCGGGTGCTGATGTTTATCGAAGTGACATCGACGCACGGTCAAGCGATAATTTTCATGTAAAAATACGATTTTGCAACGTACGCTTTCGAGTTGGACGTTAAAACTAATGTTGAATGCAAATGTCGTATTGCGAGAAGATTGATACTCAAATTCAGAGATATACTAATGTAATTATGTGGCTCTAGCAGTAAGACCGCGTATGAGTTTTGAAATATATATATATATATACTGAATCCAACTAAAAGTAGTGGCGATCTTATCGAATCCGCTTTCCCGAGTGTAAAGACCCATCCTCTCTCGATCTGCGTGTATTTTCAGACCCGAGGGGACAAATACTGCATAGTTCGAGAACAGCTTTCTTAATTATGCAATTCTCAGAGAACAAGAATAAATGTGTGCTTCGCATATTGCACAAGCTACTCACTGATAATCAAGTAAAGCAAGAACCAGCAACCATACTCGCTTCAAACATCTTTGTAATGTCCCGTATACTAAAACCCATTTCTTATGCGCTCACGCTATAACATTCTACACCTTGAAGTGCGTATCTTATCTCGTTCGCTATATACTGCTCGTCAAAAATTCTTCATCGACTGCCTCTTTCCCGCGCGCATCGACGGAAACGCAATTTTCATGTATACACGCGCGTAGCATAATGTTATCCGCCGGTCGTCTGCCCCTCAGCAAATAACGCCGCAAATATAATAATCCTGCTGCTCCTCCTCCCCGGAAAGCTCTCAGCCTGCAGCGTGACGAACTTACAGTATTTACTTGTCGTTGGCGCTTTGATCGTCGCTTCTTCGGCATAATTGGAACGTTTTGCGCGCCGGATTTCTCGCTTCGTGATTTATATGTCGCCGAGCGATAGCGAAAAGAGAAGCGCGACGACGATCGAGCCTTAAACTCACACAATCCGTCGCGAGTGATGGCCGAGTGCCGAAATTTTCGGCGTTTACACACTTTTAGTCAGGAGAGCGCGATCAATCATCCGACAAAACGAGAAGGAAAAAAACACCGATGTTCTGATTTAATAACCGTCGGCCACCGAGAGAGAGAGAGAGAGAGAGAGAGAGAGAGAGAGAGAGAGAGAGAGAGAGAGAGAGAGAGAGAGAGAGAGCGCAATTAAAGTACTCTCTTACATCAGCTCGAGTCGGCAGCGAGGCCGCATAAACCGCCGACTGCCATATGTTTTAGCGGACGCGTCGTTTTGCTTGGGCCCTGACCAAGACTTCAATAGGATTTGAAATAGGGACCAGTCGTAATTGAATCTGAATATATGTCGCTGGTGAAATATCTTTATAGGCGGAAAGTGAGCACGCGCGAGAAGATGTAGTATCGATCACGACGCGAGACTGTTATTGAAACGTAGGTAATTAAGAGGGGAATAATGTTGGCAACGCAGAACTTATTCACTTGGCTCGGCATTAAGTGGAAACTCGTATGTCATTCTTTCTGTATATCCACGTTGCGCTCAGTTTTCAGGATATACACATATATTTATAGCGTTGTTTCCAACACGATATTTGCATAACTACTTTTGCTATTTATTCAAGTATTTCAAGTACACGCGCGCGCGCGCGCGCACACACGGACGCGGTTACAGTTTCCTTTTGCTTTCGTTCGCTTATGGCAGAATATACCGTTGCGATCGGTCTACGAATTTTCAGAGACCGTACTTCGGTTGTCGCCTCGGTATCAAAAGGTAAGAAGGTCGGCAGGCGCCGAGTAAATAAACTAAAATCAAGCGCGCGATAATCTCGCGGAGCGGCGGCGATTGCAAATCGAAAGAAGAAAAAAGGCGAACGCGAGGAGCGCAAGAAATCAATCGAGTTGCAAAATGCACGTATAACGCGCGGTCGCTCGGGCGTGAATCGAGCGCGCGATTGGCTTGCCGTAAGACCGCTCTCTGAAATCCCATTGGCAGAGAATCGCGTTTATAGGCTGGCTGATGGAAAACTCCGAAGCGCTTGGGAAAACCGACGCCGGCATGGCGCTTGCGGCTCGAGCGCGTCGAAGGCGGATTTCTCAATTTTTCTCCGATCGCCCGAAGCGTTCGCTCGTGTACTTTTCGTGTCGTCGAAATTCACGCACTCGAAAGGACAGCGAGGCGAAAAAGTAGCATTCGAAGACAAACTCGTTTTTTTTTTTTTTTCCTTTTCTTTTTCTTTTTCTTTTCGAGCGAGCAAGGAGAATTGAGAAAACGAAAGCTGAGGAGACCACCTTGATACTCGCGTATGCGCAATCTGCTATTTCCACTTGTTCTACTGTAACAATCAGATTTAAAGGACGACCGTCGCAACGACAAGCGGAAAATTTTGTTATGCTATCTCGTGGATTCGGAATTGCTTTTGTGCAGGCGAACGTAGAATTTTCGATGGTCAAGCCGACAGAGTTTTGTATCGTAAAAGAATGAACGAGCTTGCGTTTCACGTGCAGCTAATTATCGAATACCGACAATGCAAGTGACATTGCAATTCTATTTGAAATTATACACCGATACATAATGAAGACAACGCAGTCTTAAGCTTCAAACAATGCGAATTAGCGCATTTGGATAAGTGTATTGCGTCAATTTTTTTTTCTCCCAGTGCAAAACGTGCATGATAATGAAACGCACGGCGCGAACCGTACGTCAATGTCGCGTTTCCTCAATGGTGATAAAAATTCACTCGGACATTAATTAAGTCGGCAGGGAGAGCGCAGCGTGATATCACAGCTAAGTCACGCTAATTGATTACGATAGACTCGCGACGGGAAGCGAAAAATTCGTAACGTAATGGAGTTGTTGCGCGGAACTGCATTTCTAAATTGATTGTTGTAGGAAACCAGTATTTTATTAAATTACACTGCGCGCTCTTTGTAAGCGTCCGCCGTCAGCACCTGTCGCGCGGCTCTGCATCGCTCGTTTTGCATGTTCCGCTCCGAGCGCGTGTGATTTTCAATACTGGCTTTCGATTGGTATCGGTATGCGAGCGCCGCTTTGCCGTTGCTGGCTCGATAAGGATCGACTTTTTTTCGAACTTGTGAACGGGGGTTAATCGATAATGCGCGACGCCGTCTTTTTGTCTGGAGGTTACGAGGCACAACTGAAAATAATGCAAAGGAGATTAACGCAGCAGAGAAAATGACGTTTTAATGAACGTTTGACGAGTCGCCTCATAATTACTCGACGAATCGCGGATCAATAGTAACAGCGAGGAGCATTTATCGTATCCGAAAAACAAAATCGTAACTCTTTAGAAACTGCCGATGACTCAGCGAAATCCACTGGGTCAGCGCACTATACATCGATCATCTCATTATAACAGAGGCCTTCTTTTTGTTTGTTTGTTTGTTTTCCGGGCGTCCGTCCATTGTTACGTGGCGCCCCGAAACGAAATGAAAATCAAACGGAGAAAGCAAAACTCCGAAGCCCGGCGTATAAATAGGTGGTCGGCATTGCTTGGGCTATTATGGGACGGACGCGAGTGGCAGTGGAGAAAAAGAGTTGCCGCGCGCGGAGACAAATGCGGGCGTTTAATCAGCAATGAAGAGGTGTGGTCGCTCCGGCGCCAAAGGGCTTTGTTTTTTAGTTGGCGGCGGGATTATTCCGCGGCGAATATGTGGGCCGACTGACTTGGGCTCTCTGCATAAGCCGATTGTTTCTGCGATCGTAGGATTGGATAATTTCTCGCGCGTACGTGAACGGCAGGATGTTGTACGTGTCATAGAAAGTTTGATATACGCCACGTATAGTTTGGCAAGCTTAAAATTGGAAAATTTAGTCGGAAACTCTTTGGCGCGAGCAGATTGTTTACCTGTCGTGCTCGTTTGCGCTGCACATTAACTCCTCTTTCAAAGTCAACAATTACTTATCTGTCTACAAAAGTCATAATTATAAAATAAGAAGCCCGCAAAGACGTCTCGCACATCCTCAACGTTCATTAGTCCTAAACGTATACACATAATTCTTTTGATTTCTGAACGCGTATTTTTATGACCAAAAATGCAGACAGCATTGCTTCATAATAGAATAGTCTTACTACAAGTTTGCAATTTGTGAAATGTGAAATCTTTCACGATGCTTTGATTTACTGTTGAAAAAGTAGAAAAATGTTAATTGTGCGATGTGTTTTAAAATTATTGAACAATACTTGGGAACGCTAGACAAGTCGATATTCGAAAAGAGCCTTTGTTTCTAGAAATCGGAGCTTGACTTAAGGATGTCACAGTGCTCCAAAGTTTCAAAGTCGTCGCTGTCGATCGGCTTCGAAAGCCGCCACTGTAATTTTTACGATTCCCGCGAGAGGCAGATCGACAGCTTGGGGATGAGAAACTTTGGAGGACAGCGAAGCCAATGACTCGTTTGAGAGCAAACGATGCGAGGTAGAAAAAGGGCGATGCCGACGTCGCGGCTCGATTTCAGTAATCGCCAATGGCTGCTGGTAAATCAAAGAAGGCAATGCGTATACTCACCGCGACGAGTGCGCCGAAAGCTTCAATTCGCATAGTAGCTGGCCAGGCCAGCAATAAGGCCGTCGCTTTGGAAGCGCGTGGTGGATCGATCGCGTGAATTCCCGATCCGGTCGCTTGCGTCCTCGGGCAACGAGATTCAAAGGGAAAAGAAAGCAACTAAACGGACAGTCCTCTCTCTCTCTCTCTCTCTCTCTCTCTCTTCTCTCTCTTGGTCGTCGGTGCTTATGAGCAGTCTCGTAGCGCAGCAGCCGAGGTGTGGCCTCCACCTGGTCCCCCGTTCAACTTGTCCCAACCTCGTGACATGATGCGCCGACCGCGTGCGATAGTCCGCCTTGGATCTGTAACAAATGTCGCATGCGTCAGGCGGGCTTTGTCTTCATGGGTGGGTGATCGAGCGGCCGCGGCGCGCGCCACGATTTGCCGAGGACCGGAGCGACGCCCCGTGTCAGCCTCGTGATTGATTTTTCACCGCCGCCGCGCTCGACCGTATTGCGCATCTCCGAATGGCGCTCGGCGGCGCCCGATGAAAACTGCCTGTCCGGCACCATTGTCGTTTGCGCGCGGGCGCGGCGTCGCGCGCAATAACTCAGGCCTCGTAGGCTTTGCCGGACGCCGAGCGCGTTGCACGACCGAGCGGTAGAGGCCAACGGTGAGACCGGCTGCCGCTGCTGGCTGCCCCATCAATAATCCCGGCGCTCCGATACGATTCCCATAAATCTCGGGGGCAGGAGGGGGGGAGGGGGCGCTGCGCCCACACCTGCGCCGACGCCGGCAGGCGCGCGCGAGCACACGGAAAAATGGCGACGAGCGATGCGTTCGCTCGCCGTCTCGTCGTCCTCCCCTTTCGTCGCCGCTTTCCGCGAGCGCGCCTTCCCGCGGGCCTGCCGGCCCATCGCTCCGATCGCCAGCGATTGCGAAAACACCCCGCACAGCGGTGAACAATTGCACTTGGCTTGTGTAAGACGTGGAAAACACCACGCTTGCCCCGCTTCGCGCTCCTTTTTTTTTTCTCCCAACGTAAGCAACATTCAAATGTTAATTTTGCGCGTGCGAACGAAAGATTTATGTTCTCCTTTTCAGAAGCTACTACGCTGCCGTTGCGGCTTGTTTTGTAATTGCAACTATCCATTCGTATTCGTCTTGCGATTCAGTTTGCGATGAATTACGGCGCGAACAATAATCGCGCGACGGCGAAACGCTGGACGCACGCCCGCGTCAGCCCGTTGGTATTGTTATGACGAGTGTTGAACCCTCGAAAAAAAAAATTCAACAAGCGAAGAGCACAGTATTAATACATCGATGAACGGCAGGAATTGGTCTTTGCTTGATAACTCGATTACGTGTAAATGCTCCCGTAAATCTTCATTATGGGCAATAATCAGAGATGAAAGTTGAAAAGAAAAGAAAAAAGCAGAAATGCACGCCATTCTCACAAAGGTGATAAATTATTCGCTTCCCCGTATAGGTTCTATAAATAAAATGCACCATCGACAAGTCACGAAGCTTTGCCTTCAATTCGCAAATCGGAATCCGCGAAGCGGTCAAAGTGCCGCGCTGCTTTAATACGCCCAACGGGATCTTTTATTCACTCTTTTTTTTCACTAATGACACGATTGAAAGCACTAGGACGCATTCTTTAAGGGATGAAGGATTCGATGGAAATAATTATCAGTCAATTTACCCTGGAAGAACACAGTTGACAGGCAAATTGGTGCTTTTGAACAAGAATAACCGAAAGTTTTTAAAATGCTGATGCTCAACAACTCCTTAGATTTTTACCACGAGATTCGATATCATGACTCTTGATGACAATCTTGTAATAAAAAAATATTTGAAGATAAAATACGATTTTTAGGCACGCGATCATCATGATCTTCCTAAAGTCCTCTCATCATTTTATCAATCAGTTAAAAATAATTATCAACCGTATCAATCTATTATTACACGAGCATACTGTTAAGCGCAATTTCGCCGAACATTTTTCAATGTCATTTACGTCTCTGAAAATGCTTGCATTCGATCATCGTTGTATCTATAGCCGTGACGCGCACACACAAATCCAGACACATCGATCTGGATTCGAATAGCCGTTGCAAAAGTCTGTTTATTCGCAGCACGCGGGACCGCCAAATGGAATTTCCCGGGAGAAACGCTGCGGGTCTTTTGGGATTGTCGCAAATAAACTAAATATGATTTACGAGCGCGCTGCGGATCAAAGTGCGCGCGCGTGCGCGCAACGGGGTAACTGAAAATGAAAGGCTTTATCGGCCGGCAAGAAAAGCATTCGATAATTGATCTATCGCGGCGGCTTTTCACTGACATAAAACGGCACGTTGCGCGCGACGTTCGGCTGATTTATCGAGTGATCGCTTTGACGAGCGACTTGGTCGATCGCGAGCAGCTGCTTGCGAAAGCGAAGACGCGCGCTTCCGTCTATCGCGCAGGCGTGAGAGCCGACGAACGGACGCACGATCGGAGCCCGTTCGACTGATAAAAATCGGACGTCGTTCCCACCTCCCGCGCGGAAGCCGATACGAGCGGAGCCGCGCGCACTTGGAGCGCCGCGGAAGGTGCGACGCAACTTTGCTCGAGATCTTTGCCGGCAGATCCGCGCACTCCGTCACTATTCGATCATACTCTCATTGCCAGCTGCTTCTTTCGTTTTCGTCGGCTTGTCGAGCCTTTATTTATTTATTTTTGTTTATATCCACGAGAATATTGATTTTCGTCGGTGATAAGAGCGAGGGAAAGTAAGAGATCGGTTTACACGCCAAAAAAAAGCACTGCCAACGCGTGGTTATAACTTTTATAGGTTTCGGTGTGATTTTTTTTCCGGCGAAAAACCGGAATACACCGTCACAGTCGTGTATATATGCGGAATATAACTGGACGATGAGCAGAAAGAAAAGAACGACGACGAGGATATACCTCCCAGGATTAAGATGTCTCGAAGTCCGTTTCTTGCTTTTTCCTCTTTCTTTTTTTTTTATCTCTCGACCGCGGTCAAATGAACGTGCGATTGGGACAGTAGCCTTCAAAAGTTTGCCGAGCGTATTTATTTATATCGCGGGCATACGAAACGTTGCCGCACCATCTGCTCATCAGCGTCCGAAAATTTGTAATCCTACTACAAAAGTCAACAACCGTCGAGCCGATAAAAATCCTATGTCAAAGTGTCGATCTCGCCTTATTTATTAACTCATCGCTGTATATATATATATATATATGTATATAATTTTTTTATTGCGAAATTGTGCATGCCATATGATACAGTGAATGGAAGCGTCTCCATTCTAGAATAATCTTGGCGAAGCGAGAGAGAGAGGAGAGTCATTCATGAAATCGCCATATAAGCGTGCGCGCGAACGTGTGTGCGTGACTACGAAAAACCTGATCTTGCGCAGTAATGAACGCGGCGCGAAACGAGCACCGAGTTTCCAAAGATAAGGGACAGATCTCGCGCGCGCGTATTCCAAAATTGACGACAACCGATAATAATCTCGTCTTGTGCGTCTAAAGTCGTTAAACTTTGGGCATTTTTGCCTCGTCGTTTTTTCTTTCTTTTATCGTTTATTATTGCAAGTATTGTCACCGCAGCTTTCGAAAGGTGGGGCTGGTGTCTTCGTATCCCGATACAGTTTCTTTGCGAAATCATTCGACGAGTAAAACGACACTTTTCTCTACGATGTTTTATGCCGACAAGACATGGGGGGTCGTCAACTTGGTTTCTGGCTCGACGATTAAAATAATGAGTAGTTTATCAGCGCATTTGGTGCTTTTTTGAAAACGAGGCAACGTAGTATACTCGCGCAGGAAACGTCGATCATCCGATAGCGATCGGCAACGAAAAAAAAAATCATAGGTATAAATATCTGATTTCCGAGAATCCTCTAGCCGCGGCAGTGTATGCAGTGGTCGTTTTACTCATTATTATTATTTTTTGTGAGAATTTTCCCAAAATACAGGCAACGATCGGTAGTGATACTTTCAGCCAGCGTGAATCGATTGACTGGACCTCGGCCAGAGCTCGCGAGATTTCGGTGCATTGCTACTGACAACACGCGTACGTTTTTTTCTACGTTTTCCTTTCATCAAAGTGAATTGGATTTCGCGTCGCTTTGTCATCTTGTTATAGGATACTTTTCAATAATTTTTTGACAAACGCAAGTAGTGCGAAGTGCCGAGTGATCCAGAGAAATTTGCGAATCTCGAACCGCTCGTAAATTATCCACGTCTGTCGTAGTAGAAATGATCGCATTGACATCGAGGAAAAAAAAACTTTGATATAGATCGTGCGTGCCTTCAAAGCGGGACTATTTTTCAGATTTATGTAAAATGTTTATGTAAATGCGTTCCTCATGCCCGTCATCTGATTTTCAAAACGAGTTTGAACTTGAAGCACTTCCACTTCACTTCTGAACGATAAGATTATTACAAAATACTCTCTCCTCAAGTCGATTAAGCATCAGCATTGTACCCTCAGCGAAACTTTGAGAAAAAAAATATATATACCCAATAACTGTATCCCCGAGCAAATGTTGTAAGACAACTCACCGAAATCAGCATAAATAAGGCGATAAAAAAGAAGAGCCCTCCCTGTCCGGCGAAAAAACGAGAAACATTGTATAAGAGACGATTTAAAATCACATAATTCGCGATTATGTCAGAGAGACAATCAGCCGGCAAAATTGGCTCTCACGAAACTCGACTTTTTCCAGCGGTCTATCCGACGCACGCATCTTGATATTTATGTGCGGCTGAGATGCGATTCTCACGGCCTCCTAGGCGGTCCGCCGCCGAGCAGCGTGTGCAATTTGCATAAACTGCCGGAAGCCGACGCGACAAGCTTCTCTCCTTTTCGCTCCCTCAATAAATGCCAAATACGCGAGCGATATCTTTATATTGGATGCGCGTACGCGCCACGGGTTACGTTCGGAAAGGGACTTGCTTCGCTCGGCTGCGGGCGCAGAACAAGCTTTCCAAGTTAATCCGTCGACGAGCGCGAACGGGGCCGATCGGGCATCGCGGCGGCCCCCGCGGACCCACGCCCGACATTTCGAGCGCGCGACGACAATCGGTCGCACGCGGCCGCGTCAAAGGCGACGAGCGAGTTCGTTCGACGCCGGGGATCAAGAGACACGTGTAAAGTGCGCAAGTTTATTGCGCTCGGCGCGACGCCGCTGCATACCCGCCACTCTACGGCATTACACGGCTCACCGCTGTGAGCTCTCAGGCGTGACTCGTGTCTTTTTTTGCTTCTTTTTTTAGTAGCCATTTGACTTTTTGAAATGCTCATTTTGAGCTCTTCAAGGATTAAATAACAGTATGATTTATCATT